TTATGACAATAGAGAGCTGCCTGGGTGGGTATTGACTTGTTTGCAGACTTGAAAGACTTATTGTTGCTCTGAATATCTATAGAGGCGAATATGTGAGTCCTTGGTGCAGAGTTTTCGGGAACGTAAAGAGACAGTGTACACTGTCTTGCGTTCCCTATAATGCGCATCCTAGAAGGGGGTATCTGGACAGTCATTGGTGATGCGGAGATAGAATTAGCAAAAACAAACCTCTCTGTTGTCCACACTTGGTACGAAGCGCATTGACAGACCTGCAAGGCAAGGCAAGACAATCAGCTACAACACCCAGGACAGCTCTTTCTTTTCAAGACACAAGAGACATTCGTGTGTCTCTCCGACCTAGATATACATTTATTGGCCACATATTTATCAAACTTTAGACCCTGTCTGAAAGCATGGTTCTTGTTAGTCTTACGCTTACCCAGGGGACCCTTGTTCTGATAACTCTGCGGTCTCGTCTGTCAAGAAGAAAGAAAAAAAGAAGAGACAACCACAACAAACCTAACCAACCACGAGCTCCTTCACACCCCGTAAATACGTATCTGTACCCAAAAAAAAACCCAAAAGACCAATATTTTCCAGCGCACGTCCCAGAGGTTTTGCGTGATGTTTCATATCCTGGGAGGGGAAAAGTTTAGGACTGTTTGTCTGAACACTTTTAAATCTTCATGGCCAAGGAAGGCAAAAAAATTTTTATGGGGACCCTTGTGGTTTACACCCACGTCATAAAACTCCATCTCTTCAAATGTTACAAACTTTTATATTGTATGTGCAGTAGATATTGCTGCCAATTCACACCTGTATTTCCCGTATAATGTATTTTGCGTCCCTGCTATAGGTGATCCTAGAGTCGCATTGCACAGGCTCACGCTTCAAGCTCAGACTCCCCCACACCGGTATGGGCGAGTACTTGATGTAGGGGCGGCGGGGCTATTGAGAGTTGGGAAGATGTGTTTAACTGCTGAACGGTGGCAAAAGTAGGAGGAGGAGGAGCAGATGACGCCAACCGTCCTTCTCTCCCGAACTTGGATACAGCCCTATTCAGGCGATCTCTTGCAGGTTTCCCTTCATGGCTTGGCGGTTCCGTGATAACACACTTCCTCTCATTGATAAACCCGGTCTGTGTTCATGACTCCACCAACAGAAGGTCACCATCTCTTACAAATAGAATTTACCAACTCTTAGTATAATAATACTACATCAATTAGTCATTTTTAAAATTGTTAATCCCGTACTACATGGTATCTAGTAAAGTACAATTGGGCCAATTAATTTCTACACACAACACACCAACAACGCTGTAAAGCAACACATTTTGGAGATGTGCGAATCGAGTAGAGTATTATGGTGTCGGAGGGAAGGTCAATTGTGTTGCTGCCGGTGAATGTAAGTGTTTACGGGGTGACTAGGAAGAATGCGCAACGCGCAGAATATTTGCCATCGTCGCGAGCTGGGATCCAGTCCCATATGCGTAGAACAGGTGCACGACATGAAGGTCGCTCGTGTGCGCGCAGATAAATCCGACCAATGATCTTCCTACGAATCTGCGTCAGCACACGAGGGGACGGAGCAGATGACATTCCTAAGCATGACTAATGTGAACATCTTAAGCGTGACCGACACGTACGTAGCATCATCAGCGGAATACAACCCGAGTAGTGCCTCACGCTAACGCGCTGCATTATAGAGAACAGTAAGGATGTGCAGCGCCCGTCACAAGTCACAATATGACACATTGATAATCCCTGTTCAGACTAGTATATAGGCTCTCTTCAGTCACCAACAAGTTAGTGTGTGTCACTTTTTGGACGTTTTTGTAGACCTGTACCTCTAACTGCATGTCTGCATTCTCAGGGGGTTCTGAAGAAGAGCTGGTGGAGGGAAGACGTTCTTCTTCCCCGTCGTGGTGTGGAAAGGTGTTTACCTCTTGTACTGCACAGCTGGACTCCAGCTGCCCTCCCACACTTGTGGACATACACTTATTTACGGAGCAATGCAACATATGAAGAATGGTGTAACCCACAAAAGGCCATTTATACCCCCGTGACATGAATTACGCAAGGTAACAATTATATGTCACATTTTAAATTTTGGGATATATCACTCTGGTTCTCAGCCATTCATATTGTGAACCTAGCTTTACTCTGCATGTATAATATGTAGGTGAGAGCAGACGGCTCCATTGACTTCCACCCAGTCCAGTTCAAGGTGTACCGCCACACGACCCTCCCCCCTGCCGGCAAGCAGTCCTCCCTCCCCTGGCCCCTCCCCTCCTTCTTCGGAACCCTCGGATCAGCTCCAGCAAGCCGGCGACTCCGCCCATCGTTAGCTCGGCAGGGGTGGGGCCGCAGACTGCGGGCCGAATCCAGCCTCCACTCCCTCGGCGTGTTCTCTACTACTATGCCGCCTTCACTGGTGCCACTGCTGTTGCTGAGGTTATAATACTGTACACAGTATATACCTGTGTGCACTGTGTGTATGTTGGTTGGAACATGCTCCCAAGTATTATAACCAACAGAGCAATACCAACATCCTTTTTCAGTGCTACAATGTGAATGGCGATTTCTGAAACCACTGCATTCAAAGTTGGACCAGTGAAAAGCCAGAATGCTGATAAGAATGCCTCTAGACCTGATTTTATTCGTGCACTGTTTCCAGTGAAGGTTGCCCCAAACACTACATTCTCTCTGATGCTGCTAGTAGAGAGCAAGAAACTGACACGCATCGGGTGTAATAATAATCCACCTCCTCTGTTGTGTATATAGATGAGTGAGTACATTGAGAAGGTGCTACACGTGAAGTCAGAGGACCTCAGACTCTATGACCTGACGGACGAGGAGAACCCTGTTCATCTGGACAACGAGACCAGGACTGTGGAAGATCTCACGTTCACCGACGGACAAAAACTTCTCATAGAAAAGTAGAGCAATGCCCGCGGACACACATGCACTACCATTATCTCTGTGTGTTTCATTGTCGTACAGAACCGTTAGGAGACCCTGTACGCGTTTGGGTCATCTCTCAAAATAAGCAGAAAGTGATGTACATCTAAGATTAGTCGCCTCAGATATAGTGACCCATATACATAATTATGGACTTATGGAGGCTCTGGCACAGTTCTGTGTCCGTGGCTGGTTAAGTGTTAATGGCAACAGCACCTGTACGAATCAATGCCTTGTATCAGGAGATAGTGTACTACAAACTCGAACTAGAACCAAGTGTCCCTTAGTAGAGAGGTGTGCTTTATTTAGAGGTCGCTGTAATACCACTAGACCAAGTGTCCCTTGTCGAGAGCTGTCCTTTATTCAGAGATAGTGTAGACAACTAGACAAGTGTCTCTTAGTCGAGAGGTGTGCTGTATTATGGAGATAGTGTAATACACTAGAACCAAGTGTCTCTTATAGAGAGGTGTGCTTTATTTGGAGGTAGTGTAATACAACTAGAACCAAGTGTCTCTTATAGAGAGTGTCCTTTATTCGGAGATAGTGTTAATTAGAACCAAGTGTCTCTTATAGAGAGGTGCTTATTTGGATGCTATAGATCTGGAGATAGTGTAATACAACTAGAACCAAGTGTCCCTTATAGAGAGGTGTGCTTTATTTGGAGATAGTGTAATACAACTAGAACCAAGTGTCTCCTTATAGAGAGGTGTGCTTTATTCAGAGATAGTGTAATACAACTAGAACCAAGTGTCCCTTATAGAGAGGTGTGCTTTATTCAGAGATAGTGTAATACAACTAGAACCAAGTGTCCCTTATAGAGAGGTGTGCTTTATTTGGAGTAGGTAGTGTAATACAACTAGAACCAAGTGTCTGTCCCTATAGAGAGGTTGTGCTTTATTGAGAGATAGTGTAATACAACTAGACCAAGTGTCTCTATAGAGAGGTGTGCTTTATTTGGAGATAGTGTAATACAACTAGAACCAAGTGTCTCTTATAGAGAGGTGTCCTTTATTTGGAGATAGTTTAATCAGAACCCAAGTGTCTCTTATAGAGAGGTGTCCTTTATTTGGAGATAGTTTAATTAGAACCAAGTGTCTCTTATAGAGAGGTGTGCTTTATTCGGAGATAGTGTAATACAACTAGAACCAAGTGTCCCTTATAGAGAGGTGTGCTTTATTCAGAGATAGTGTAATACAACTAGAACCAAGTGTCCCTTATAGAGAGATGTCGTTATTCAGAGATAGTGTGTAATACAACTAGAACCAAGTGTCTCTTATAGAGAGGTGTTGCTTTATTCAGAGATAGTGTAATACAAATAGAACCAAGTGTCTCTATAGAGAGGTGTGCTGTATTCAGAGGTAGTTAAACAACTAGAACCAAGTGTCCCTTAGAGAGATGTCCTTTATCAGAGATAGTGTAATACAACTAGACCAAGTGTCTCTATAGAGAGGTGTGCTTATTTGAGATAGTGTAAACAACTAGAACCAAGTGTCTGTCCCTTATAGAGAGATGTCTTTATTCAGAGATAGTGTAATACAACTAGACCAAGTGTCTCTTATAGAGAGGTGTGCTTATTGGAGTAGTTTAATAGAACAAGTGTCTCTTATAGAGAGGTGTCCTTTATTTGGAGATAGTTTAATTAGAACCAAGTGTCTCTTATAGAGAGGTGTGCTTTATTCGGAGATAGTGTAATACAACTAGAACCAAGTGTCCCTTATAGAGAGGTGTGCTTTATTTGGAGGTAGTGTAATACAACTAGAACCAAGTGTCCCTTATAGAGGAGGTGCTCCTTTATTCAGAGATAGTGTAATACAACTAGACCAAGTGTCTCTTATAGAGAGGTGTGCTTTATTTGGAGATAGTGTAATACAACTAGAACCAAGTGTCTGTCCCTTATAGAGAGATGTCCTTTATTCAGAGATAGTGTAATACAACTAGAACCAAGTGTCTCTTATAGAGAGGTGTGCTTTATTTGGAGGTAGTGTAATACAACTAGAACCAAGTGTCTGTCCCTTATAGAGAGATGTGCGCTTGTGATTCAGAGATAGTGTAAATACAACATGACCAGTGTCTCTATAGAGAGGTGTGCTTTATTCAGAGATAGTGTAATACAACTAGAACCAAGTGTCCCTTATAGAGAGGTGTGCTTTATTTCAGAGGTAGTGTAATACAACTAGAACCAAGTGTCCCTTATAGAGAGGTGTGCTTTATTCAGAGATAGTGTAATACAACTAGACCAAGTGTCTCTTATAGAGAGGTGTGCTTTATTTGGAGATAGTGTAATACAACTAGAACCAAGTGTCTGTCCCTTATAGAGAGATGTGCTTTATTCAGAGATAGTGTAATACAACTAGACCAAGTGTCTCTTATAGAGAGGTGTGCTTTATTTGGAGATAGTGTAATACAACTAGAACCAAGTGTCTCTTATAGAGAGGTGTCCTTTATTTGGAGATAGTTTAATTAGAACCAAGTGTCTCTTATAGAGAGGTGTCCTTTATTTGGAGATAGTTTAATTAGAACCAAGTGTCTCTTATAGAGAGGTGTGCTTTATTCGGAGATAGTGTAATACAACTAGAACCAAGTGTCCCTTATAGAGAGGTGTGCTTAATTTGGAGGTAGTGTAATACAACTAGAACCAAGTGTCTGTACCCTTATAGAGAGATGTCTGTATCAGAGATAGTGATACAATAACCAAGTTCTCTTATAGAGAGGTGTGCTTTATTGGAGATAGTGTACTAACCTAGAACCAAGTGTCCCTTATAGAGAGGTGTGCTTTATTGGAGAGTGAATACACTAGAACCAAGTGTCGTCCCTTATAGAGAGGTGTGCTTTATTCAGAGATAGTGTAATACAACTAGAACCAAGTGTCTCTTATAGAGAGGTGTCCTTTATTTGGAGATAGTGTAATACAAGTGTACCTTATAGAGAGGTGTGCTTTATTCGGAGATAGTGTAATACAAGTGTACCTTATAGAGATAGTGTTTATTCAGAGATAGTGTAATACAACTAGAACCAAGTGTACCTTATAGAGAGGTGTGCTTTATTTGGAGATAGTGTAATACAAGTGTACCTTATAGAGAGGTGTGCACTATTTGGAGGGTTACCCCCTTTCGGAGATTTCATTAAAGGTGTATTTGCCCTGTGTCGTGCGCAGCTCGAAACAAGGACAACTCCTGGCCGGAGGAGATCATAGCCCTCATGAAGGAGGTCAGAGCCAAGGACAAGGAGAACAAGGACAAACACGAAGACAACAAATCTTCAGGTGAATTGTTTTTCCAGCAAGTTGGAGCAGGTTCATCGAATGTGGCGTTTAGGATGATTTTTACACTTGTTTCAGAGGTGTGGTAGAACAGACAACTTGGTTGAATCGAACTCGTGTTTCATGTGTTGTAGATTTGAACTGCTGAGTTGCCCTGGTATATAGCTCAGCTGGTAGAGAGTGCAGAGTGTCGTGGGTTCGAATCCAACCCAGGGCAGCTCTTTTATGCTTGAATAAAAAATTTCTTACTGTAGGTGTAGTTACGTTGTTTGCTTTAGCCTTTACCTTGAGACCTCGCAGATAAAAGTACGTAAATGTATAATAGAGATAACAGGATTTTTGTTCGAGATTTATGTATTGTAGCTATGTGACATACTGATACACCACAGATGTGCAGGTGCCTCACGGAGCCACCGGTCTGAGTAACCTTGGCAACACGTGTTTCATGAACTCTGCCCTCCAGTGTGTGAGCAACGTCCAGCCGCTCACTGGCTACTTCAGAGAGAGGGACTATCTCGTGGAGATCAACAAGTCAGTCACTCCACACACCTCTCTTGTCCTACTGATGGGCTTGAGTGTTAAGTACAATACAGTGGAACCTCCGATAGGGGACCCTCCGAGATAGGGACGACCTCTCTACAAGGGACACTTGTTTTAACCCTTAGTGTATTTTTTAGGTGTAGTTCAAGTTCCTGTTCACCGCTATCGCCAAGTTTAGTCTGAATTGATGATTATATGTGGTTAATGCTAATTGCAGGGACAACCCCCTGGGAATGGGTGGTGTGATGGCCAAGAGATATGGGGAGCTGGTTCAGGACCTGTGGAACGGTCACTTCAAGAGCATCACTCCACTCAAATTCAGGGTGAGTTACATTTTCCCGGCCATTTTCACAAATTGCAAACGTATTTCTTTCGTGAGCACTGTATTTTGGTTTTGGCACGCCGTGGGTGCCTTGCCAACTGCATCCACGATAATTATGTTTTTACACAAATTCGGATAATTTGCGAGAATGTTTATTGTATGCTAGAAACAGTAATATCGTGCAGCAATGTTTTTCAGTGCATTTTTGCCTTAGACGGTATTTTAGGTGTAGCTAGTTCGAACAGTGAGTCTGGAAATTGTGCCCACATAATATTTATCTAAAAATAAGCCAGTTGGGTTTTTTTTTCTGGGGGGGTGGTGCATTGGTGCCCCCCCCCCGATAATTCTAGAAAAAATGCTGGCAGTGTAGAATTCTGCTCTTGTGTATCTCGTCATCAGTTCACGGTGGGGAGATGTGCTCCGAGATTCAATCGGATTCCAACAACAAGACGCCCAGGAGCTGCTGGCCTTTCTTCTAGATGGACTACACGAAGACCTTAACAGGTACATTTGGCTGTATGTGTACATTGTCGTGCATAACTTATATGTGTATGTATGTAGCTGATAGATAGGTACATATTGCATGCACTCGGCAAACGTGCTGACTGCAAAACAGTGTTGCGTGCTTCGTACAAAGTCAAAGCCCTGGCTCTCCACTCTCTGGTTCTTCAGTTAGTTGCTTGTGTATCCATAGCGATGGGCGATCTTTGATCTGGCCATTCTTTCTGCCACACATGTAGTAGTAGTTTAGTAAATCCTGCGGGCCACTTAAAATTTGAACTACTGTAATCAAAATTTACAGAGTGAAGGAGAAGCCGTACAAGGAGCTAAAAGACAGTGATGGTCGTCCTGACGACGAGGTGTCGCGGGAGGCGTGGGACTACCATCTCTCCCGAAATCAGTCCGTCATCGTCGACCTCTTCCAAGGACAGGTGGGTCACCGATAAGATTGCACTGATGATGCTGATTGACCAGTGGCGGATCCAGGGGGTTCCTTGGGTTCCGCGGAACCCCCCTTTTTGTCGTTTTGCGCGCATGCGTTGCCGGCCTTGTGCGCGCTCATGCCCTCTTTTTGTCGTTTTGCACGCATGCGTCGCCGGCCTCATGCGCTCTCACGAGCACAGTTGAAAACTCTCTGGACGACGGAACCCCCTTTCAAAATCCTAGATCTGCCACTGTTGACTTTCTTCAAAAAGATTTGTGTGTGCTGTATTACGTATACGTCTTGATGTACTACTATATACATACATACAGCTGAAGAGTGTGGTGAGGTGTAAGGTGTGCAACTACAAGAGTGTGAGGTTCGATCCCTTCACCTTCCTCTCCCTCCCGCTGCCCATGGAGAGCACCATTAACATCGAGACCGTCGGTCAGTTGGAGGAGCTGCACCCAGTAGCCTCACGTACTGATTTATAGCGTAAAAACCCAACTTCAGTGGCCCAGGGGATGTTTTGTCCATGGGTATTTCGATAATTCCACTGCCCTCTAAATACTTTGTAACAAATTTTCTTGCCCACGTGTAATTTTTCTTTTCATCCCCTAAGGCTGTTGATATCCATCCGTGTGTTTTCTTCCATAGTTGTGAGACTGGACGGGAGTCAGCCGGTGAGATATGGCCTGAAACTGGAGGTGGACGACAAGTACAGAGCTCTCCTGGCGACCCTCTCGCGACTCACTGGGATCAAGAAATCGAACCTCCTCCTCGTCGAGATGTTTGGGGCCACGATACGTGTAAGCTCGTGCTGTAGGGTGCACTGTAGCACGTGGTAACATGGCGGTTGAAATTCTGATTCTGCAAATATTTTTAGTGGCTATGTGCAGTAATGGTCTGTGCGCAATGATAGTGGGGAGTTGAAAATCCGGAAATGTTGGTGTCGTTTAAGTTCAAGGGATTTTTGCGACTTTTGCCTGTTTGACCAAACAGCTTCCATAAATATAAATACGTTTGTTGGGGGAATTTGCTCGGCAGAACACGCTATATACACATATACCCACAACAGTTTTCTCTGCAAAATATTCTATTTTTGCCACTGAATATGTAGCAAATGCTTTCTCCCTCGAAATATACGGCAAATGGTTGTACTTCTACGTATGTGTGCTTCAATCACCTGTGAACTATTGACATAAACTATGTACACTTCTCTCTGCAGAGTTTTCCTCCTGATTCGACGAAGATCAGGTCGCAGCTGGGAGGCTGGCTGTACGCCTTCGAGATCCCCGACCCTCCCCCGCCTCCCAGCTTCCGTACAACCACCACCTCCGTCCCCCTTCCCTCCCTCCAACCACCTTCCCTACTAGCTTGTACCTCCTCCTCCTCCTCCTCCTCGCGTCCACAACACTTGGGACCTGCTTCCTCGACTACCACTCCTGGTGTGTGGGTTCATATTGGGTTCATATTGGGTTATCACGTGTGAGATAGAGCACCGTTTAATACTACCCCTTAATCTTAGAGTTACGTAATACTGGTGTGTTCAACCTGGTTTAGATTTAATCAATCGTGTGAACGGGGCTATCTGTTGTGTAACTTTATGGGACCTATATAATTATTGCCGAGCGCGTTAGCGTGAGGCAACTACTCCGGGTTGTATTCTCGCGATATGCGTACGTACGTGTTGGTCACGCTTAAGAATGTCAATTAGTCACGCTTTAGGAATGTCAACTTCCGTCATTCGTAGGAAATCTAGCTTCCGCCGTGCGCGCAGATTCGTAGGAAGTCTAGCTTTGCGCGCAGTCAGTAGAGCGCGCGCACGAGCGGCCTCAGTCGGACTGTTTATGCATTGGCTGGCAGGCGTTGCTTGCCTGCTAACACACTCGGCAATTATCGTGCTGGCAAAAGAACATGCACGCGTGAAAACAAATGTATGTCAATTGGAGCACCACTCTGGATACATTAAGCACCTCATCTATGTACCTACAAGCCCTCGTGTTCTATAAAAGTGGTCTTGTTACGCTCGGAACACTACAATGCAATGGGGTCATGCTCTTCCTATGAGACCTTCTCTCCCAGGTGAATGTTACGCAGCGTGAATCAACGAACATGTGTTCATGTGCTATACATGATGATTTTTTTAATTTTTGCAGACGAGGAGAGGGAGAGAGGCAGAATAGAGGAGGGAGGAAGTGGGGAGAGGGGAGAGGTTTGTGATAGTGGGGAGGAGAGGGGTGCTGAGGTGGCTGGGAACCCAGGGAGTCTACACGGCAAGGAGGAAGACAAGGAAGGAGGGGGAGAAGAGGGGAGAGAAGAAGGAGGTGGAGGGAAAGAGAATGGGGATGGTGGTTTGGATGCTGGTAGAGAGAGAGAAGAGGGTGACACGGGTCCACCAGGGAGACGGTTGCCTAGTAACTCTTCAATTGATGGAAGCGATGACACGGAGTGTGGGGTGGGGGTGGAGGGGATTAGACCATCGCTAGACCGGCCGCTCGGCTCTCGAGACCCCACCCCTCCCATCCTGTTGGCACCGGAGGACGATGACCGGTTGCCTGCCGCGGTGGTTGTCGCCGACGACGTAGAGGTGGGGGTGGAGCCCGAGTCACATGACCCGGGTAGGGGGGTGGATTCATCGGCTACGTCGCCACTTCACTCTGGCGACATTCACGATGGATTCATCTTCGCCGTACATCGCAAGAAGGTGAGTGTTATCCTCTCACTGTGAACAGAATCAACCTTCTTGCCACTAACCAAAGAAACCAACATGGTTCAACATACGTACTCTCACTTTGAAAAATGTGTTGACAGCTTTTTTCTGTATTTCAAAAAAATATGTAGTGAACCTGTGCATGCCTTTCACAAGCACACAGCAAATACATATTGATGTACTTACCTTATAGTACAGTATAATTCACAAAACGCTGAACACCCCTAATTCTTGGAATAACTCACTCCATGTATGTAGTTTTTGATGGAGCAGTATTTCGTGGCGAGCCAGAAGAGTCGACCGGTGTTGTTTGGGACCCCCTTGGTCGTCCCGTGTATGCCAGCCACTCCCTGCAGACAGGTGTACGAACTGGTGTGGCAGAGTGTGAGGAGACTCATCATCCCCGACATACCATCCTCCGAGTATGGACTGTAGCTGTGTGTGTATGTAGGTCTGTATACTCGAGACATATACGTAGGTTGAATAATGGTTCAGTCAAGTTGGGGTAGAAGAGAATCAAACAGAGCTCAGCGCAACTTAACAAAAAAGCTCGTGCAAGTGTGTGTGCCCATGCAACACGTGCAAAGACAACACCTGGTGGAACTGTGTTACTATCGTAAAGAACTTTGTCTAGTGCAAGTAACGCCGTAAGAGTCAGCCAAACAAATCATGCAGCTTTGACTGCCTTAGGCCAAATCGTTGCCCTGCCGCACTGCGCCGCATTTCCGCATCTTCTTGGCACGGTGCAATGGGGCAATCCAATGTATTGTGAACCTAGCCTGGGCATCCTTTCTATTGAAAGTATATATATATAACTCTGTGTAGGTCAAAGGAGAGAAGAGGCTACCCGTTCAAACTGTCACTGGTAGGGAAAGACGGGCTCTCCTGTGCAGTCTGTCCCTGGCACATGTGAGCCAATCACAACAACGTCTACCTTTCGCGTCCTGCCCTACACTTCCTCTTATCTTTTTTCCACTGCCTCTTTCTCCCTCTCTCTTCACTTATTCCTTTGATTTCCCCTCCCTTCCTTTCTTTTGCCTCCTTCTCTCTGCTTTTCTATCTTCCCCCCTCTCTCTCTCTCTCCTTTCCTTCCCTTCTTCTGTTCTTCTTCCTTTCCCTCTCCCCTTTTCTTCTTTCTCTGCCTTCCTCCCTCTCTCTCATCCCCTCTCTCTTCTCTCCCCAAATGTGCCACTGCAGGTTCTGCAGAGGCTGTCCAATAGAATGCAATGACGCTGCCATTGGTGACTCCTCCCCATACATAGCCATTGACTGGGACATCAACATACTCCACCTCAAGTACCAATCTGCCCAGGAAAGAGTGAGCTAATTAGGCTAGGTTCACGGCACGACAGGGCAATGCGACATATGTGAACCTATATAACCTTAAGCTAGGTTCACAGTATGGCGGATTGCCCCGTCACGTCCTGCCGCAAAGATAGAAATGGAGTCTATCCTCATGGCACGGCAACGTGGCATAGCGCGACAGGCCAATACGACATAATATTGTGAACCTAGACTAATGTATGCCTCCCACATCAGAGGAAACCCCAAGTGCATCTATGTATGCAGTCAATCCTCTATATAAAGGACACACTGGGACAGGATTACAATCATGTGTATTGGCCATGACCTCCAGATAGTACGTAGGTTTGCACTCAGTTGGAAAATAATCGTGTGGCGTTTAATTCTTCCTAGAGCTAGAGTATATACTGTAATTGTAAGTGCGAAGGAAGTTGAATAACCTTTCGGGACTTAGTTCACCTTCTCCCCCCCTCCTCCTCCTCTCCTCGTCCTCAGCCAGTGGAACATGAGAGTATGGAGAGCCTGAAGACAATGGACCTTGACCCCATTGACCTCTACCAGTGTTTCAAGGCCTTCGTCAGAGAAGATGACCTCGGAGACGAGGAATGCTGGTAAGTCTAAAGCTACATATACAGTTATCGCAGGTTTACTGTATATTATATCTGTGAGTTTTGTTGTAAAGGTTTTTATACATAAGGTATAGCACTCGCCAAGTCTCTCTTTATACATAAGGTATAGCACTCGCCAAGTCTCTTTATACCATAGGATAGCACTCGCCAGCTCTCTTATACATAAGGTATAGCACTCGCCAAGTCTCTCTTTATCATAAGGTATAGCACTCTGCCAAGTCTCTCTTTATACATAAGGTATAGCACTCGCCAGTCTCTCTTTATACATAAGGTATAGCACTCGCCAAGTCTCTCTTATACATAAGGTATAGCACTCGCCAAGTCTCGCTTTACATGGTATGCAGGTCCAAAGATAGCTCGTCTTCTTACATAAGGTATAGCACTCGCCAAGTCTTCTTATACATAAGGTATAGCACTCGCCAAGTCTCTCTTTATACATAAGGTATAGCACTCGCCAAGTCTCTCTTTATACATAAGGTATAGCACTCGCCAAGTCTCTCTTTATACATAAGGTATAGCACTCGCCAAGTCTCTCTTGACTAAGTATAGCACTCGCCAAGTCTCTCTTTATACATAAGGTATAGCACTCGCCAAGTCTCTCTTTATACATAAGGTATAGCACTCGCCAAGTCTCTCTTTATACATAAGGTATAGCACTCGCCAAGTCTCTCTTTATACATAAGGTATAGCACTCGCCAAGTCTCTCTTTATACATAAGGTATAGCACTCGCACAAGTCTCTGCTTTATACATAATGGTATAGCACTCGCCAAAGTCTCTCTGTATACATAGGTATAGCACTCGCCCAAGTCTCTCTTATACATAAGTATAGCACGCGCCAAGTCTCTCTTTATACGATAAGGATAGCACTCGCCAAGTCTCTCTTATACATAAGTATAGCACTCGTCAAAACAAGAAAGTAGTTCTCTCTTATAAATAGGTATATAGCACCGCCAAGTCTCTCTATACATAGAGGTACTAGAGCACTCGCCAAGTCTCTCTTTACTACATAAGGTATAGCACTCGCCAAGTCTCTCTTTATACATAAGGTATAGCACTCGCCAAGTCTCTCTTTATACATACTCACTAAAGGAACATTAACTGTGTCACTGTTTCTAAGAAATTTTTGCAGGGGGGAGGCTTTTATTTTGTACGCGCGTCGCTAACATCCGCACGTTGCATCTGTAGGGTTTCCATTTTTCTTGTGTCAAAGCTTCAGACGAGATGTATTTTTGCGTCCAATGAAAGTTTCACGCACTAATGTTATAACTTTTGTGGTTCTCAGGTACTGCAAGCAGTGTAAGACGCACCAGGAGGCGGTCAAGAGTCTGGAGATATGGAGACTGCCACCCATTCTGGTCTGCCATTCTCTCTCTACTTCCAACGAAGCATTCATCTGGGCTATTTTGCATTACTGTTATGTACGGGTGCGACTATGGATGCATTAGGTGCCTTTTGAAACCACAACTAAGTGAAACTTCTTACGTTAAAAAATCTGAATGTTACAATTTGGTTCTGACACATGTTCTCCACCTGTCATCTATGAATATAGAGTTTAGAGGTTCACATTTGGTGTGGTGTTCCCCTCTTCCTCCCCTTCAGATCATCCATCTGAAGAGGTTCCAGTTCTTCAACGGTAGATGGGTCAAATCCCAGCGAATAGTTCGTTTCCCGACTTCCAACCTTGACCCTCTCCGCTTCACCGCCCAGAACGGGAACCAGAAGAGAGCCGAGAACGGAACGGAGACCACCATAAGCGGCACAGAGTCGCGTGAAGACCAGGAGAGACCGGAGAATGGAATAGAGACTGCCGCGAGCAGCAAGGAAGACTCGCGGATAGAGAACCCCTTGCTATCCGACACGAGACCCGATATCGCAAACACTTGCACCGTGATGACTCAGCCCCTGGCCAACGGTGGCAGGGGGCACCCTACAATTAGCAAAGACCCGCAGCCGGTTGCCCCGGTGATGGAGGCCATGTCTCAGCAGGACCAGCTGGATAAGTCTCTGTACAACAGAGAAGGCAATGTCTACAATCTGGTAGCCATTACTGTAAGTCTGATTTCAGTTACGATGTTGCTAAATAGTACCATGTACATAATGTCTCTCCCTCCCTCCCTCCCTCCCTCATGTTGTGCAGTGTCACACGGGTGTTCTGGGAGGAGGTCACTACACGTCGTTCTGCAAGAATCCCAACGGAAACTGGTACTACTACAACGACAGCTCTTGCAAGGTCACTAGGTCTCTAACTTCGTAATACAGTGAAACTCCCTTAATCAGAACACTATAGAGGGACAGAAGAAGTGTCCATATTAGTGAGGTGTCCTATTTATGGGGTTAAGTTGCATGTCTCAACTACTTCTGGGGTTAAGTTGGGTTAAATTGCATGTCTCAACTACTTGGTAACGAGGTAGAGGCAAGGCAAGGCAAACAAGTCAGCTACAGCAGTTCTTAGGGGGAATGGTGTCTTTATTACAGAGGTATACTCATTTCAGGTGTCCTTAGAGATGAAAGAAACCTCCATAGATTTTGTGGTCCCAGCTTGCCCGTGATATGCAGTTAAGCCTCCAAAAATGACCCTCCAGGGACACTTGGTTCTACACCATGTCGTACCTTCCCTAAATTAAAGGGAGTGGGGCAGTATGTAAGAGCTAAATTTAGAAACTGTTACTGAAAATGGAAAGTTAATTGCATTCTTGCACTGGGCCAGCTATATTTATCCCTATGTACACTGACACATTCCCTTTAAATGGAGCAAAAAGCTTTCCATTACTTACCTTCCACATTATGGGTGTATACCACTGCAGGAGACGTCGGAGGAGAGGGTCCAGGAAGAGTCCCCCTACCTCCTGTTCTACGAGATGAAAGACCTGGACCACTACTACAACCTGTTCAGAGCTCAGAAGGAGGGCAAGAGGCAGGACATTGGCTCCACCGAGGACGACAAGGCATACGAGGAAACCATCAAACATCTCAGACAGAAGTGTTGCATTCAGTAGTACTGCTGTATGCTCCAGCAAAACCCTCAGCAAAATAGTCTATATATCCTATTTTTTATCTATGTTGTTTGTTGCTGTTCTTCTGTGAATAAAGATTGAAGAGTTTTTACTTTCTATATATATACTCAGTGCTGCAGTGTTGATCATGAACGATCGTTTTGGGTTCAAACTGCTCACACAATTTACAGGGTGCCAATACCAAGTCCGGACATGACGTACATTAAAGAAGGGTGTCAACGATTTTGCATTTGTTGTAGGCACAAGAGTGGAAAAAGAGACAAACCAACTATCCTTAATACTTTGACTGCAGTTGGAGTATGGAATGGTACCATCTTCTATCTCGCTGCATATCCCCATCTCACCCAAATTTCGCTGTCCCCCCTAAATAAGGGTGTGAACGATTTAGCATTTTTTGTAGACACATGAGTAGAAAAGGAGACAAACCAACTATCCTTAATGTGTTTCATCCCCACCCACCCACATGCTTATAATATAGTCGACTAGGGACCATATATACCCACCCAGGTATAATTATAATATATAGCCACCAGCAAACCATTGGCACAATATCCTTATTTGTTTCATATCTCATGAGACTAAAGGCCTCGTTGGTTTGCCAAAATATAATTATTCGATCCGCTTGATGCCCCCCTTCAGTAGATGACAATTTCAACAACAGTGTAACATTGGATTAAAACACAATTATAAATAACACAGAGAATTAAAATCAAAGACAATGATTTTTCAGGAGAGGCAAAGATCCGTATCCAATTGTCCAAAGCCGAACCGGTCCAGTCCAGAGCGAGTGTCCTTATTTGGAACCTTCTTTCCAGAGGGCAAAGCCCTGTTCTACTAGCTCGCGGTTTATGAAAGTTGGACTCTGTGGAAGAAACCGACAGGTAATTATTATGGACTGGTTGAAAGAAAATCTGGTATGGGACCGATACCACCATTGTCACTGTTGTGGTGGCTAGTGTCGCTATTTCATCTCACAAACCCAAGCGAAACGCTATCTGCACATTTAGAGCATGAAACTATATACCCATCTAGGCATGAGCAAAGTGGACCCTCGTAGTCGTTGTCTGAATGCGGAAATTTTTTTATATGCACAGGCACTGGCACACACTGTAAGGTTACACTGTTTCTAAATAATGATGTGTGAGACACGCGGAAAATCGACCTGCTTCTTTCGCTTGCCAAAAACTGCCAGAAATGCCAAACTATCCCCCTCTCCTAAAATTGCGTCTGTCTCAACCACCCTCCCCCCACCCGTGGTGGTATATCTCAACAACTTGGTAGCGAGGTAGAAAGGCAAGGAAACGCAACCAAGTCAACTACACCCAGCACAGCTCCTTCTTTTCAAAGAAAAGAAGAGTTGCCCTGGGGTGGGGATTCGAATGCACGACACTCTGCAGTCTAGGCGAGCACTCTACCAACTGAGCTACCGGGGCAACTCAGCTGGTAGGGGTTCGAATCTTCAACACAACGCAACACAAAGGCACACCTCAAACCACTGATGTACCTGTGAGCCAAACTGTGTATAAATCTCCACCAGTGGCACGGCAGTACTCTCGGTCTCCAGTGACTGTCTATTGGTGACGTGTACCTCCAGCACCATTCCCTCTATCAGGGCCTGTAGAACCACCATCCCATCCTCTACGTCTTCTTCAAGTATAGAAGGAGAAATAATAATTATATCACAGAATATCACCAGCAACACAACACATACTGTGAAACTCTTATTAAAGGACATGTGAGCATTAATTAAAGGCAGCCTTGAATCTAGCACCTCTTAGTAAAGGACATGTGAGCATTAAAAAGGCAGCCTTGAATATAGATACCTTGTTTGACCCTACCAAATTAAACTCTTTAAGGTGATTTCTACTTGAAATTCTCTACCATATATACATCTATGACGCTAGGTACAATGCACATCTATACTAAGTTAGTACTACCGTACTTGGTGATATCGGTACACATAAAAAGCAAGAAAGCATGTTACAGTTACACGTCTGCAACCGCGCAACCATCACGAAGACCTGCTGGCAATAAACCACTGTTGTACTCCTGTTCAGAATTGCGTAAACACAGTGTATGCAAAGCCCTCCAAGAAACACTGGACAGCAAGTTGACATTAACGGGGAGACCAGCTACAATAAACACACTACCCAGAGAACAAATGGACACAGCAGAGCCTGACAAAAACCTAGACAACAAGGCACGTCGGAGTGTATGATAGTACTGGTCTACAACTCACTTGTCTCATTTGGCACAACGTTGACTAGCTCACAGGGAAAGGCCTGCATCTCCATAATGGCATAGTCCTTTCTGCGTAGGGAGAGAGGAGAGACACACAAATTACTGACGAAAGAGAAAGTACAGCAAAGGAATAAAAGGAAGAGGGTGGAAGGGGGAAAGCTAGACCGTGGAAGGCAAAAGAATTAGGTGTAAAGTGCTAAGTTACAGAGGGGAATAACTAGAGGGAGGTAGGGAAGACTATAGAAGGGGCAAAGGAAAAGTTGATAAGAGACGGTAAAGAGGTGGAGAGATTTGTTAGCTACTTGAGAGGTCTAATGGAACTGGGTGGGAGTACAACAGTGCTGCCGTAGTCGACCAGCTGGAGCTCGTAGCTCTTAGAGTCGTCCCCGATCTTGGTCACGTGGGCCCTCAGCCAGTGGATGTCGCTCACTTTGGCGGCACAGAACCTCCCCACCATCCCCCCATCCCCCTCGTTGGCTCGCTGGAGACCCATGCTCGACGCGTACGCGTAGAAGAAGCTCATGCTCTGGTGAAGGTCGTCCAACTTTCGACTGGAGTCGTAGGGAAACACCCACAGTCGGTTGAGGGACTCGATGTAGGAGACCATCGCGTAGAACGGAGAGGTCTTTGGTAGCGGCAGCTGTCGTAGCTGCACCTCCCAATTAATGCCCTCCTCCAGGTTGGCAAAGAGAGGGCTGAGGGAGCCAAGTGGCGTGGCACTCACGGTGCTGATGTCGTCGATGGATCCCGGGATGTCTATCTCGGGGAACTTGATGCTGATCTGCTTGAGGGCGAGCTCCACCTCAGTCGCACTGCCCTGGATGTGGCAGGGACCGAAACGGCCTCTTTTGGGAGATTCTTTTGGTTCACGTAGACGTGGGTGTTAGAGTCCGCCATGAGTGTCTTGATGTTCCTTCCTTGTTTCCCGATAAATCGCCCGACGGAGTCTCTCGGGAGTTGGATGGTGACTTTTACGCGGTTCTTGAAGCTGTCCAGTCGGAGCAGGGGGCTGTCGATGTCGCGACTCGACATGCTCAGACTGGCCTGCGGTGGAGGCGAGCTCTGCTGTTTGACTACTCCTAGACTCGGTGCCGACACGCTGGCAGAAATCCCTCCACCAGACGCTGCAGTAGCACTTCTACCGGCTCCGACAGCGGCCTTGGTGATAATTCCGAGACCGAGGGTCTTCTCCGTGTTGGCGAGGAGGAGGGAGTGGGCAATGTTGGACTCTTCGTGCACCGGGATCTGGCGAGAGGAAGAGATGTCCTCTGCAGATCCAAAGCTCTCGACCTCGGAGAACGTTTCTGATTGGACGTCGCTGGAGGCCAGCGGGTATTTTCGACCCTGGACGAGGATTCCCGAGTCGTCTGATTTGAGCGGAGCCTCGCCGCTGTACTCGGAGAGCATTGTGGTCCCGCTGGAACTGAGAGGGATCCCGTTACTCAGCGATTCCGCCGAGCTCTTGGGAGCCAAAACGCTGTCGACTTGTTCAGCTGTTGTAGTGGTCGATACTGTTGTTGAGAGTGGGTCTTGTAGGGAGGTAGGTTGGTCCACGGTATGGTACACAGCGTGCCCTGGTCTCCCTCGCATCTTTGCAGGTGGTCTCGACTGTTGCTGCTCGCTGGGCGGAATCCAGGCTCCCTTCAGGAGATGGGGATGCGGCTGGAGCGCCGGGTGGACCTGGGCAGCTAGCGAAGACCGCTCGGCCTTGGGTGGCGGACCGAGCTTATCGACAGTCGCAGCGGGGAGGACCTCGGACGGTGCGCACAGTGCTGGCGGAGGAGGCAGGCGGTTGAGGGACGGATAAAACTCCTCGGCGCTGGCACGTAGCTTCGTCGCGGGGCTCCGCTCGCCGTCGCTCAATGCCGTCGCGTCGACCTCGCGGGATACGGTTCGCAGCCGGCCCAGCGTTAGTCTCCGTCTCCTCCGCCGACCCCACAGCCAAGTGGCGAGCCCTCCCAGGATACCTGCAAGGGCCAGAGCCGGCACTCCCAGTAGCAGCAGTCTCCTCAGTTGCGGCCGAACCATTCCCGAACCAGACGAGAGAGTGTTGGTGTTGGACAACTGAAACGGACGGTGTGCAGCAGCAGTTGAGTGACGCGACGACTGCCCCCGGCCCCGCCGCCGGCACGTGTGTTAACGCATGCGCAAACATTCTCGCGCATGCCCAGAGAATAGACATGATTGGTGCATATCGCATGCAGTGGTGTTACCCAATGAAATGTGAAAATGATTGACTGACAGTCTGGCCTCTTAGTCTCTTTTGACAGTAGATTTTCGGCTCTTGCTCCCATCAACCACAGCTGGAACCTTGACCAGGAAGTAGAGGTCTGCAATGAACACCAAAACTCCCACAAACAGACCAGAGAAGACACACTGTAGCAGCAGTAGAGAGAGAGAGAGAGGCAACCGTTGACCATTCACTCACAGAGAGAGTGAGAGACTCACAGTTGGGAGGGAGTAACCCACTGCTCCGGCCGCACAGAACGCAAACATAAACGCTCCAACGACCGTGACTATAAAGTTGACTACTGTCCACAGCTGTCTACTTGTTGCCTGAACTGCCAAAAATTTGCCCAATTTAGAATATTATGAATATGTATTAATTACACTATGCTTGAATGCATATCAATCGAATAAACATGGTGACACATTTTAGTGGTGTACCTTCCAGGCCAAGTGTTGCCTGTTCAAGAAGCTGTTTCTGTGAGGGAAATTAACCTCACTCAATTCACAATCATAATGAGTGGGGCCTCCCTTACTGAATTGTCCACATTTGAGACCATCTTGTCGTATTCCTTCTGCTCTTGCTTTCTCTTTATCCTCTCCAGTCGTTTCACCAGCTCCGGATTCTACAACAGACAATGACATCATCGTCCATTGTTATTGTGTGGTGATTATGGTAGGGTCTTACCCTCGGGGGAGGGAGGAGACTCGGGAGGACCAGTCGGCTACCACTTACCAGATCGTGGAGATATACATGACCATTCTCTGCATAATAACATACATACAGTGTAGAAAAAACTTTTGACCAGTTTTGTACTGTGCTGCTGTGTGAGTATTTATACCTAGCGGCGTTTTCTCTAGCTGCTTATGAGCCCTCTTTATCAGTTCGAACGATATAGTGCTCGAGATTTCCTCCACGTTGTTGTCTGCGGAGGGGGCCCTACTCTTTCTCTCTCCCTCATCTCCGTCCCGCCAGAGTACCAGGTCTCGCCGTAACTGCACCGGGACGTCCGACTCGGGCTGCCTCAGTACGTAGTCCACCACCGCCCGTATCTGCTCCGTGGTTTGCAGGAGCGTAAAGGAACTGTGCGTGTACTTGTCTTCGCCCATTTTCCCCTAATAATGCCCACCCCCAGCTGTCCGCCAGTGCGCATGCGTGATAAAAGCTTTGGGTTTAGCTCGTGCGCCTGCAATAGCGCGTGCGCATGTATTCCTCCAATAAGAGACTGAACAGGCTAAGCTGCTTGTTGAACTACCATGTCTCTGACTATCTGGAAAGCTCCGAGCAGGGCACCAAGCTGGATCTTCTCCGATGTTCCTGCAGACAAATTGTACCTGCAGAAAACAGCATAATGAAACAAAGGCACAATTCTAAGAGCACTGACTTACTCTACAGTGGCCATTTTGTCGAGAAGAATCATCCTTATCTTTGGTGGGAAGTCAACTGAAAAGTATTATTAGCAACAAAATCTATGCAACCACACAAAATATATTAATGTGCATCGCCGCTTTTCATACATTTTGGAATGGTGAATTAAACCAACCACATATATAGCAAGTTTCAATTTCACTTTCATGATCAACACCATTATATTAATCTATGTGGCTAAAATAATTATATATATATAAAATATATAATTATATATACCTCTGTGTATGTAGGTGTGTATCTGAGTGATTATGTCCTGGAGAGCTAGTCCCTTCAACGTCTTCAGACGGCTGATGTCTGCAGAGAGCAAAGAGCAATCACTAATGAGCCATATACACGTATATACACGGGATGGAAGAGATCTGACTACTGTGGAACCCTCTCTAAGAAATGAGGACGCCTCTTGCATTTCAAACTCTTCCTGTAATACAAACGATCCCTGCCCACACAAAACGTCCAAGGAAGAACTCCAGTTGGCCCTCAAACGCATGAAAATTGAAGCAATGTAGTATTCTTACTCTGATAAGCTGTTGAGAAATCCTCGTTGAGCATCCATTCCACTATCTTGGAAATGTCGATCGGGAGGGGCTGGCCCGTACACAGGTACACGTTGTGTTCGTTCACCTCATCAAATGCCACTGCTGTACTCTGCACATTAACAAAATCATCAATCAGAGATACTAGCAGTCATGGATGGAACTGCAGCCATTGACCAGTCTGTAATATGCTGCAAGAGCCTGTAGCAGAATACACTGTAAAAATGGAGGTATCAGATAATCCCTTTACAAGCAATGTCACATGGTACACTATCGTCACACTAGGTCACATTGCTGAGCCCTAGCGATGTATAGTTCACAAGGGTTTGGAGTTGAAAAACTGAGACAGTGGCAGTGGGAGATGATGACCTGTAATACGTTGAGAGCTCTTCTCATGTCTCCTCCAGATAGAGTGATGAGGCTCTCCACTCCATCTGGCTGGACACTCACACTGCACACAACCATACACACTGTATATTACACACATGACGTACTTCTAACCTCCATGTAAAAACTAAGTTAAACTTTTGTCTTTTGTCAGCAACGCATATTAAAAAATATATGGGTTTGCCCCACAACCTGCCAATACCCTTCTTCCTTGATGACATGTTGGAGTCGCAGTTCCATCTGTTTCGGTTCCAGAGGTCCGAACCTGAACCGAGTGCAGCGAGACTGGAGGGCCGGGATGATCTTGGAGAGGTAGTTGCAGATCAAACAGAAACGGACGTTCTCTGTGAACTTTTCTATCACTGAACGAGGGGATACACAAAACATTAAGAGTACCACTTAACAAGGAAGATATCTGGATGCATCCAAATACTAAAAGGGAATTACAGGCGTTGTGCTTGCAGAGGGGACAATTGCAATGGGCAGCCCTTCTCTCAATAACCATACAGCTAAAACATTGATGTGTCCCAACCTTCTACTTTATACTCTATAGTGAGTACGGTCCAAAGACCACACTATTATCACTCTACACCATAACTCCAGCTGCAACAACAATTACACTGAAAGATCTTTAAGGTTTACCTCTTCTGAGAGCGTTCTGAGCGTCGTTGGTCATGGCGTCCGCCTCGTCTAGGATGATGAGTTTGAAGCCCGACTTGAAGATGGTGCGAGTGCTGGCAAAGCTGAGGATGGCTCCTCTCACTATCCCAATCCCTCTGTCATCCGAGGCATTCAGCTGCATGCCATATGTGTGTGTTTGTGTTTGTGTGCACATATGTATCGCAAAATAATTCGTTTTACAGAAATAAACTTTGGTGAAGATTCACAGTGGAACCCTCTCTGAAGACAGCACTGAAAATAGGACACCTTTTCTCTTTCTCGCCCCAAAAACCACTTCTTGCATACAATTTAACCCCTAAATTCAGGACACCCCACAAAAAATTATGAACACTTTCTTCTGGCCCATTTGTGTGTCCTGGATCACAGGGGTTCCACTGTACAGTACATGCTTGCCACACTAAAGAATAGAAAGCTCTCTGATTACTTAGTCTCTTTGGCCAGTTAACTACTGTTTTACGTGATATCAATTGCAAACGTGATATGCGAATACACACATGAAAACATGGCTACACGTGTGTGTAATATACCTCTAGGACCATGGAGTTAAACTCTCTGGGAGCATAGAGTGTTCTGGCACAGGCTAGAATGGTGCTGGTCTTCCCAGTACCTGGAGGGCCGTAGAACAGGAGGTGTGGCAGGCGATCCTCACACATGAACCGCTGAACTGCACCAGTAGAACAGTGTAGAGGGAAAGATAGTGTAGAGTTACGAAAATCGTGAACTATTTTTGTTGGGCCACAGATGAACTTGCCAACCACATCAACAAAACTGTTTTTTTTTTCACAAAAAGGTGCTTATGCACAGTTTTCAGTAGACCACACACCCAGTGCACACACTCCAACGCATCAGACTATGGCTATTTTGAGTTAGCTGAATGTCACGTTATAGTAGGGTATAAGAAAACAACGCAAAGTAGGAGAGTCAGCTAAAAGTATTGTGGCAAAACAATGCATCACAATTTGTACGCTCTTTCACATGAGGTGCGTGACACAGCCATACAGAGCTACACGTTATAGTAGGAGATTGTATTATTATACCGACTTGTGCTGATTATGTCCCTGTGCGAGATGAGCTCGTCCAAGTTCTGCGGACGATACTTCTCCACCCTATGACACACACACATTCAAGTCAGTGGTAGAATAGAGAGACATGGAGTGTGGGAAGGTGCAGTGGCGTGGCAGGGAGAGTGCCTACCAGGGAAGCTGGCGCTGCTGAGCTTCCTTCACTGACTGCCGCGCTGACACCGCCATGCTGCAGTTGCGTTGAACCTTGACCCATTTTGCGCATGCGCACAATCTTACGCATCCGCGGCACACGCCCACTTTTCACTAATCAACAAACAAAACACTGTCGTGTGTAGTAGAGCGACCAATGATGGAGTGTCCAGGATTCTCTCCCAACTCTACAAACGTTAGCCTTGTACCCTTCGCCTCTAGACTCGTTGCTATTCACAGAGGCTCCAACTCCACCGACTTGACGGGCTTGTACGAGGCGTGTGACTGCAGCACTTTCAGAAGACATGCGGCGGACGTGAGTCAGTGTCTCTAGCTATAGATACAAACATGCGTACTACTCTCGTCGATATGCTCAGTAACTAGACTTCTACACACGCACGATGGCAAACCGCAGTGAGTTGATCAAAACATCAGCTAGTCAACATAGAGATCCCATGATCTCTATGTCCTATCGTGTCCCTTGGTGGTGTCATGTGGCAGGTCCCACACAATGAAGAGCTCGTGTATAAGGAAATGGTGCTTTGTTTAGAGTATTGTTGTGAGTCACTGTGGTCGTAGGTGTCATGCATGGAGATTGGGTCTACATGTGTGCCTTAGTATTATATTGTACCACTGTATAGTGTTATACTGAGAAATATCTTCTGTATGCTGCTGTTTACTTCTTCTCTTCAGGCAAATGCGATCTCTATCATTCGCATCATTACTTCGCTGTTCAGGTAACTAAACGCACACACACGCACACAAATAATCATTGGCCAAACAGTTACTGTATTTAGTAGCGTGCTTTCTCTCACCTAGTATCGTTGGCTCTGCTTCAATCATTCTACTGGTACTTCTTACTGGAAAACTCAACACCGCAGAGGTATGTATATTATGTGTACACAATAAACACCCTCACTAGTTATATCACAGCAGTGCTCCCTTAATACTGTCCTAACAGGTCCACCCTCTCTTCATGCTGTCGGTTGCGGACTTTATTCTCGCCATTCTCTGGCTCATCGGAGGAATTGTGTGGCTGAGTCCCGACGGCAATGGCTGGGCGACCGAGAAATCGTCCACGCACGCTGGGATGTGCTACGTGCTAGCTGTAGCTACCACTGTGAGTTAATCCCCATCGTTTAGCTACATATATATTAATACAGTAGAACCTCCGATGAAGGACACTCCTAATAAAGGACACAGTAGAAAAACCTATCAATGAAGGGCACACTTGGAAGTCCCAAATGTTCGATTTTTTTAACCTCCTGCACTGATGTAGATGGCCGGGATAGTCACATTTCTACTGACAGTTGTCTATGCACAGAGTGCACTCCTGCGGCTACGAGAATACTACAATAACAAGGGGAAGCTCCTCCCAGAACAGGTTATAATTGAGCCTGCCCCCATCTGGTGTATTTTTATGGGCCTGTCGTCAAATTTTTGGTGCAGCATAAGAAAAAAAGGTTGCGTCACATTGTCACAGGATTGTCTTACGTCCTTAGCTGGTGAGTATCTCAAATTACAGAAAGTTGTACTACGTTTTTTATTGCGATTCACTAACTTTTGTTGATTGAGTCTCAGAGTGTGTCACCAAAAATATAGTCCCTTTCACAAAATTTTGTGGAGAAACCTTTTTTTACAAACTTTGAAACCAAAAAATTTGTTTTGAAAGGTTTCAACCATGGCAACCCCATCCTTGTTGCCTTGTCTCAGGCTGGTTCCACTGCTTGTGGTTTTACCAGTGACGGAAGCACTGGTTGGCTTGGAAAGTACTGACAAAGGATGCTGGTAAGCTAACGGTAAAAGACCTACGTACTAACGATGCCGTGTTTTTAATTGCAGGTGTATCGTTGATTTCTTCAATCTGAGACCTGACAATGGGGTAAATAACACACGTGTGCTAACTATGAATGTTTGCTTACATCTTACACTGATATCAAGTTAAGGTTTTGCAACCAATGAAAGTAGTGTAACCCATATTTAGTATCATAGGGTGCTGGTGTACTGAGATGTTATGGATTTTCCCGCATGTTGCTATATATATATATATATATACAGGATTTGAATACAAGTTCACCATTCAATACATTTGCCATCATTCAAGCTGATATGATTGGCTCTTTCTTCCTCGGCTCAGCGCTTCTCATCATTGTGAGTTTCATTTCGTATTGATTATACTCTACCCCATGGCTGTAATGATGTTATCACGTACTATAATATAATATTGTGCAGGTGTATTATGGGATTACACTATGGTACATCAGAAAGGTCTATGCCTTTCAAGGTGAGAGCAATAGCAAATATATGGCATGCCAAGCCTCTCCTGTACTTGTCGATGCTTTCCACATCTTCTTTAACCTATTTCCCCTTACTTGAGTGATACACCGCTACTGCAAGTTATCTGCAACTGCAGCTAACCAGCAGGGAAGCCAGCAGAGGTCTGCCAAGCTACGGCGGATCATCAGAACAGTCATGATCCGTCTCTCTTGTTTCATCCTCATCTTCATCGCCTGTGGAGCACCAAGTGAGGGATGTGTGTATTATAGCTAACATGCAAAAGATCAGAGGTGTAAAATTCAAAAGAAAGTGAGGCCACCTAAGTATAATTGCACTATCTACTATCTATAATATCCGACTTTGTCATAGTGGACAATGTGTGTGAACGTTACGAATGTAGAGCACAGGTAGCTCTAAGACTTCATTGTGTTTTGCCTCCCAAATGTTTGTCATTCCTGTATCATCATCATGTAGAGCAACAGTTCCTTGATGCTTTGTGTTCATTGTTCCGCAGCATTTGCCGGAGCCGTCGATGTGTGGTCAGAGGGAAGCAGACTCCACCTTTCAGAGAAACCTGACAGGATTATCCTCTATATTCACGTCAGTTTACGAGTATAAAACATGCTGTGTTGGTTGTTTTTTGTGTTTACCTTCGTATACATGAAGGTGTTAGACCATGTGATGCCAAGAGAAAAAAGATGCGGAGCTCTGGTGCATATTGTGTGGTGGGATATGTTTTTTTGTAGGACAGTGGACATTTGTGTTAAAAATAATTAGCTAGTTCTACAATATATGCAACTATAATTTATAGAGATTCTCTCCCTTTCCACCTCCACCGGTCACAGGCTGTGTTAGCTCCAATGCAGGGTTTCTGGAACGCAATAGTGTACGGGTGGTCAAGGAAAGAGTTCAGAAGAGCAGTCAGAATCCACGGTAGTGAGAGGAGCGCTAGCAGCTCAAACTATCAGTCTTTGAATAACTCTCGAGTGGACCAAGGGAACAATGCTTCTCCAACACAATGATGACATGGACATTTTCTCAGTCTCAAGTTGGTGTGCTGTCATTTTAGAACTCGACTGTTATTTTACATGATGTTTGTCACTTTTTCATACAAATCTGAGAGGTTCTGTTGTTAATATTTTTACACAAATGACATGATATATTGAACAGAGTGTGCATGAACAAAACTACTAGAAATTCATGACATCACATTAGCAAGACAATGGAGCAGAGAGACAAGTGAGAGCTGATTCAACAAAATCTTCAGTGACATAGATAGCTAGTTACCCAATTCAAAATCGGACCCATTGTCGTCAGAGGTGATTTCCTCTAGTAGAATTGAGGCGTAGCTGACAATGTCCTGTGTCTGTAGGCAAGTGATGTGCGAGAGCTCCAGAACGACCAGAGCAAAGTTGGCCTGGTCTAGAATATACGATGCCGTAGCCAGTACGGCAGAGGCCAGCAGCATCAGATTGCTCTCGATCATGTGCAACTTTCGCCCGTCGCCGAACACTCGCCCCAGTCTACGATCCACGATACTGTTCCTGCAGACGTAGGACACGTCCAGGACTTTGAACGCGACGCCGTGTAGCTGCTTGACGGGTACGGCCTTGTTGTTGTGGGATATAGCGCCTAGGAGGCCCTCCAGATACTCCACGGGCGTCGGGAGGTGGACCTGGAAAGATAAGGTCTTGAGGACACGGACTTCCGACTGGACGATGCTGGCCGTGGCGTAGCGGTAGCCGGACGCCGTCAGGAACCGCTTCGCCTTCCCGATGCTCACAATGCTGTAGTGCGAGCTGAGCTTGCTCGCCAGTTGGACGCAGGAGACTGCCCTCAGCGGGACCTGGTGCTTGATCCGCGTCTCCACCTCGCTCCAGTTGATGGGGCTGCTCGTTCCCTGGGTCCCGCGGACGTGCTCACGGAGCTCCACGATGTGGAGGTGCATGAACCGTTGGAACAGCTCCGCCGCTCGGTACTGAACCTCAGCGCTGAGCTCAAACCTCCTGCAGAGTTCGAACAGGAAGAGGACCGCGTCTCCCGACTTGAACGCCCCTCGGGTGTCGTCCGGCAACGCCTGGTTCATGCTCACCTCGTTCTGAGAGGCGAGAAACGAGAGAGAGACCTGCAGCATCTCTCTGCTGAGGCTGTGCTTGCTGTCCGTGAAGATTGGCTCGGGTGGGGAGCCGAAGACCGAAGACGTGTCGCTGTCGGTCGTATTTGTCATCTTTTGCGGCCGCATTCGTCGCCTGTTCTCCAACTTCTGAATTGTGTGAAAGTGCAAATATACAGTCTCCCACAGTTCGGTAAGAAGGTGCCTGTCTTTACGTCAGTCTTGCGAAAATCATAGCGCAGCGAAAATTCGCGCTTTCGAAATTCCCGCGCCGATAAGCGGCGCGCGCATGCATCGCGCGCATGCGCATAACAGGCAATCCGAGGGGTCGACTCTCTAGAGCTAGCTAGGTCCAGGCCAACCGACCGGGCTCCGGTGTCCTCTATTGAACATGGCTTCTAGAGTGTATCAAATGGGAACCATAGTCAGTAGGTATATAACTACACACAGACTCAGGAGCAATGGTTTTAGAATGGCTATCTCTAATCTTCACGTTCCAGGGTGAATCACCTATTGCAGACTGGGGTGCTGAAGGAGAGACCGCTGTGGTTGGATGTGGTTGAGGCCTTTCCACCCGACGTCTTCCCTAAACACAACCAGACACCAGAGGGTGGGCGAGCACCAGTCATCGCATACCCTGAAGACGAACTAAAGAGGTGGTTATTTAGTCAGAGTGTCGAATTGTCTTACTTGAAACTAATTACGTCTGCAGGAAATTTTATGACAATTATGTCATTGTGAAGCAGCCGGAAAAGTGTGTGTCGCTGTTTGAAGAGAAGCCAGAGGTTACATCTGTCTGTAGCAGGTGACCACAACTGTACTGTTGTTCTCAATTATGTCCCTTGGTTCAAAAACTGATGATGTGTTCCTTGGTTTACTCTGTTGTGGTTTGTGTGGAACAGGTTTGTGTCGGAGCAGTCAAAGAGCCTGTCGCTGGGTGACGATGAGGTGGAGGCTGGCAGGAGGGCCATGTGGATGCTGAGAAGTGAGGGAATCGACATTCGAGTCAAGCAGGTGGGAAGCGTCGTCATCAAGAGTATGTTCTTGCTAGTTGCTAGAGCAGACATGAGGAAAAATACTAAAAACCCAAGTAGCCTTTTTCTATTCGTGGCTGTAATTTGTGGCCCTGGATAAATCTCGACCACCTCACCTAACCCAAACTCCGGTGTATATAGCAATAGCTCTAACACTGTATGATCTCCCCAGGTTGCAGAAGGCGTGTCCGGTGAGGACGGTAAAACCGGTGCTCCATCGACTCTCAGGGGCCTCAAGGATCTACTGGAACAGATGCACTCCCGGCAGTCCCACACTGGCTCTCAGTCATGACCACACACTGCATAATAATTATCACTGTACTCTTTGCACCGAGAAAGAACTAGATTTGGTACACTACATGTGACACAACATTTAGTACGCATGAAGGTTCAAATCGCACGTTTATCCTTGAGCATAATAGTTGTGGTACATTGTATATTCATCTGTTAGTCACAACAACTCCGCAGACAAAAGGTGGCTGTGCTTGTTCACAGTTTTGACTCTTTGGATGAGTAAAGGAACTGTGATTGTACAAAATTGCTGTATATTATACAAGAGGGCACATATACAATGGTAGGGACATCTTGTTGGAAGGAGGATTGAGGTGTATGATAGAGTGAGAGACTAGACAGTAATGTCAGTTGGTGGAGGTGGCTGGTTGCTGGTAGTGGGGGAGGAGGGGGAGCCCTGCAGGTGGCTCTCCAGTGAGAAGGCCGGGATGTGAACCTCAAACATCTTACGATATTGACGCTCCATACGAAAGGTGCCCCTGCAATCAGTCACATAACGATTCACGCGCACAAGTCGGTATGCACTTTGAAATACAGTACTAAAGCTAAATGCCGGGTTCCATTTCGGTTCAAACATACTTTGTTCAACTATAGCAAGTGCATTACAGTAGCCTTCGATAATTTTTTGTATGTATATACACAGACATATCCATACAGTGTTCTACTGGTGAGCCAATGTGCCTGAACATGTACATAACAGTGTAAGGATGTATAAACGTACACGATAACCCTACATTTGGTGTTCATGCATGTACAAATTAACACCACCACAGCTACAATGCACTAAACAAGGTGTTCCAAATAAAGCCCACCACATGTGGCCGCTGGGGCACCGGAGGGACACGTGACTGCTGTACTGGAAGGCCGGCTGGGAGAGAGAGAGAACCGGCTCCTGGCCGATGACTCCCTTCCCCTTCACCGTCTCCAGTCTCCCGGTGAGGCTGTAGATCTTCCAGTGTCTCTCTCTCAACTGGACCTGCTCCTTCCCCACGTTCTCCAGTCTAATGTTATACCGCCACCAGTAGACTGGAGACAGAGGAACACATACATGCAGTGAACCCAGTGCACCTATACAGCATAACCGAGATGGCTACAATAGGGTTGACATGTGCAGTGTAATGGAGGCTTAGTTCAAGGTGGATGCAGATTGCAGAGAAAGGCGTAGAATTATAAAGACAAGAGGATGGTAAAGTACAGAGAAGAGCGATAGATAGAGGAAGAAGCCTTCCATGTGTACATTCACAGCAGTGTGTTAGAAGCATACACACACTTAGCTTGGGTAATGTGGCAGGAAAAAAACATACCCATGGATCCACTGTGGAGCTCTTTCCTGCCCATGTAGAAAGGCATGACAGTGACGCGGACTCCGCTGGTCTCCTGTGTGTGTACCTCCATCAGCTCCAGCCACTTGTGGTTCTTGTCCCTCCAGGCCAGCAACTCCCCACTCGGAGCATAGTTCCCTGCACACACAGTGAGCAAACACAGCTAAAGGGACATATCGAAATATTTTGTGTCCTCATATAGAGAAATTTTTTAGGGAGATCTGTGGAGATTCCAAACAGGATGTTTCAGTTCAGAGAGAGAGAGAGAGAGTGAGAGAGTCAGAACCTTCGTTGGTGGAGTCAGATTTGAGAAGAAACTGACTGAAGAGCTCATGTTTGAAAGGCTCCTGTCCGGTTACCATATATGGCAGTACATCATCGTGTGACACATAGTCCAGACCTGTATATATTAACGTCGATGATAGCAACTCTTTGTGCGTACACTGTTTCAATAGAAATGGAGCAAGAGAGGGAAAAGATGCACCATCTCACCAGGAATGGAGTAGAGCGAAACGTCATTTCCTTCACCGAGAAATGTGATTGCCTCAGGATGTGATTGCTGGGGAACAGGGAGATAGCAACAGCCACCAGTCACACACACACTCAGACACACACACAATACAGTGAAACCCCTTGACATCGGTGAGACAAAAGAAAGCACTCTTTCTCGGTGTGTCTCCTTAGTTTAGGTACACACAGAGGAGCAGTTCTTGGTAGATGAAAGATATCCTCATTTCATGGAAGTCGTTTGGAGGAGTCCCACTGTAGGCATACGACTCACAATGAAGGGGAAATCCCTGTGATCAATGAGGACTGAGTAGAAAGGCTTCGTTTCTCCTTTCTGTTTGTTGATGAACACAATACTGTCCTCTTCCCAGGCACTGCAGAGAGTTTGAGCAAATGAGACACAAAAAGATAACCTCTGTTTCCATTGAGAATGTATTATTACTGCTTGGTTTGCTGCGATGTTCTATCGGTTTCCACTTGGGAATGCAGTGGAACCTCCGATAAAGGACCCTCCGAGATAGGAACGAGCTCTCTACAAAGGACACTTGTTTTAACCCCATATTAATTAATACTTTATTTGACCTCCGTGATGGGGACAGCCTCTCTACAGGGACAAAATCGCTGGCCCCATAGTTCAGAGGTTCCAATGTAGTACTAAAATGGACCGCTTTTCAATGTATGATACAGTGTATTCATTCACCCTTAGAGGGTGAGAAGGACTGGTCTGGACTAGACTAGTGTTGGGTCTGTTGTTGGTACATACGCAGCATTTCCTGAAGGGGCCTCTCTGTCATACACCTTGGCCATCCATGGAAACAGGACAACTCCGCGATAACCAAATACACGGTGCAAGAAGAACTGCCAGACAAATCACAGCATACCAATAAATAGCACTGACACAGCTCTATCAATGAATACCTGCCCGGGTTGATAATTCTCGACGCTTGGAGTTTCGAATTTTCCGACTTCGATCAACCTAAACAGTTCATAAAGTTTTCTGCTAAATGCTTTGGTCCTCCAGCACCTACCTCTGCGACCGACTGACTCCTACGTGAACGCATCTCCTGAAACAACGAGCACACAGTGACCACCTCACCATTCCTGCATGTTCTGGGTCGAAGGTCACACATATTTCTACTGCGCATGCGCACTAAATGATCGCCATTTCCCCACCACACTACAGCAGAACCAAATCATTTTCCATTTCCTATGTCCATGACAGTTTGAAGACACCATGCTATGTGACGGTCTGCATCCACCTGTTCATACCTGTATACACAAAAGTACATGTATATTGAGATGACAGATCAATGCACTACAACCCACCATGACGGGAACCTGGTATTACACATTGGACAGTTGTCTGTGGTCAACCGAGAGCCCAGTGGAGTGACTCTGCCTACCGAACTGGTTCCACTAGTGTGACAACTGGGCTCTGAAACTGTCCCACTATCACCAGTTTGAACTCCAACAGGCTCTGGTCTTGACATCGGTGGAGTGTTACTTCGTTGTGGGTTTGTATCACCAGCTGAAGTTTTCCTACCATATCTGCTATTCTCCATGGTTGAAGTGTGATTGGAAACGGTTCCCTGTGAAATTCTGCCCTGTGGAGTAGTTTTAGACACAATCTGAGCCACTGAAGCAGTGTTGCTTCCATTTCCAGTCGGCATTTTTGTACCTCGAGATGTCCCAGGATTACTGGGAAACACACAGTCAGTGTCCATAGCTCTCCCACTACTAGCAATGCTGTTGATATCAGTGTACTCTCCATAGGTCTCCAGCCTACGCTGTTTAGACTGCGAATTGTCTTGAAAATCATTCTGCCGTTTCAATCCAGTGCTCATCTTGATGGGTTCGTCAGTGGAGCTCGCTCTACTTTTACCTTTACCGGAAGTGGTACTGTGCGAGGTTTGTTTCAATTCTAGGCTCAACAGTTCCTGTGGCTTCAGGCTCAGTGTCCGAGAAATCGTCAATTGTGGTTAGATCTACGTCGAGGCAGAGAATGTCAAAATCTTCGTCGTCATCTGGCAGTTCATACGGATCTTTCTGGATAGGAGAGTTGTTAGTGGACAGGGGGGGTCGGTCAGAGGAGGTGAGATTTCGAGATATTGACACATGATTTGAATAACTCGTACTTGGCTGCTGCTGGAGAGATTGCTCAGTTAGATCAATAACACCACTGCTAGTAGGAACTTTCTCAGGTACATGTGTACTGGTGAATTGTCTCACTGGTGGTTTTGAATCGACTGAAGACTGGTGGTTAACCTTGAGGCGGTTGATAGCATCAGACACAGTGGACGGTGGTGTAGGTTTCCTATGGAGTCGTCCATCAGTAAAAGAGGTTCTTCTAGTAGCAGTGATAGGTGGAGGTATAGCATGATCTAGCAGGTGGGTTGATGACCATGGGTCTGTAACATTCTCGCTACCAGCAGCTGTCGAACAAGTCAGCAACTGAGATTCTTTTCCAATAATCGCCTGCTCATTTTTTCGGAGGGCAGAGTTCACTTGTTCAGCAGCTATCTTCTCCTCTCTCTCGTCCTCTTCCTCGTCACTGGAAGGAGCACACAACTCTTCCAGTGTCAAAGGGGTCAGCGGTATCCGACGCAACAAGGAGTCCACGTTTGGTGGAGGAAATGGTCTCCACTTCTTCTCTTCAACCTCGTCCTCTTCATCCTCGTGGGAGAACGAGGTCCCGTCAGTGGGCTTTGACTCGGTGGCTTCAGTGAGGTGCTGGTACAACTTGAGGGAAAGAGAAATCATGGCTAGTCGTTAGTCATAATATATCAGGTGATCCGCAATACCTGAGACGGTGGGAAAGGAGTGAATGTCAGAGGTCCGTCTCCAAACAGAAGCTTATGCAGGAATTTCCTGATTTCAAAGTTGCAACCACATCTGCACACGCAAATCATGAATGATTTACCTGCTTTTTTCCGAAGGTAAGCTAACTGGCTTGAACTCATTATTCCTAGGAGAGATCTCGACTCTGTTACTAGTAGCAGTTGTACTAGTGCTGTAGAGGATAGAGTTCTCAGATCGCTTCTTCAGCCGCAATTTAGACATCGGCTCCTCAGCGTTCCAATTAGTGCTCACCAAGCGCAGGTCACAAGTGCAGCCGTGCGAATCCGAAAGCTCAGCAGCGGTGAGGGCGAAGCACTACTGGGCGAACCATGGAGGAAGTGGAGGATCACATGAATGAAGACACCCTCAAAGAAATTCGGCAGGAGTACAGAACCCTTAGAGTAAAACCTAACCTCTTTCACTTGTGCAAGGTTTTAAGATTTTTCCTCTAGAGCGAGTACAATGAGTTGAACCAGCTGAGGCAGAGGCTGAAGAAAGACGAGGCGCGATGCAAGAGGACAGTTGACACCATCCGACTCAAGATACAGGAACTGAGCGGCGACTCCAGGTGTGGCTGGTGACACCTCAGTACTCAGTCAATATTTGATCTTTCTCGACTCTACTGCAGTATCCTGGCGTCGAGGGATAAGGATGAGGAGTGTCAGATTCTGCAGGGCCTCTCTGAGATCGAGTCCTCCTTCATGAAGACACCCACGCTGTTCCTGAGGCTCATCATTGGAGACATCTCAGTTACTCAGCCTTACAAAGAGGACAGGTGGGGGGCCCACACTATAACAACTAGCCCGTTTGAATCTGTTGCACTAGGTACACCTGCTTGCGTGTGCCGTATAGCTGTATAGTTGTATTGCCTGAAGAAGGTATTAAAACCGAAACATTGAAGTAGATTATGGTGTTGTTGCGGATTTTTAAAAAATTCACCGTTGTGATTGTTACGTGCTAGGTATATACCAATTCAATGCTACATTACTAACTAGTGATAATGTAGTCTATCCATGCTTCATTGTGCTTGCAGTGTTATGTTTAGGAATTTTTTCAAAATGCAGGGTGACGTATAAGGCTGAGTATGAAAAGTTCAAGATGTTTCACACGGTGTGCATGTGTGCGCTGGCAATCTTTAGCCTCCTTTTCCCCAACTTTGGGTGAGTTACGGTGGTACATGGCATGTAGCGTTTTACTCCCAACAATCTATCATCACTATAGTACTGTATGTGTACGTTGTTGTATCGTGTTGACTGTAGTATTCTGGGAGGGTTGGTGCACTGTGTCAGTGTGTGGTACTACTTCACTGTCACTCTGAGGGAACTCATACTCATCAGCAATGGATCAAAGTAAGCCTCTGCATCTTTGTATATACAGCTGCTGTGAGTAATCTGGTGCTCCATTTTGCTACTTAAGAGAAAACCTTTTGAAATATATGGGGCTTTGGGAAAATTTCCTCCGCTACTTTTTGTGGGCAGGGATCATTTGCACAATCCTTGTACTTGCCACTCGTTGGGCGAAACTTTCCACTATACGCTATAATGCCTGTTCAATTGTTTCATTTCGCTTTTCAGAATCAATTGGTGGTGGATGACACATCACTACTGCTCCATTGCTGTCTCTGGCCTACTCTGGCTTGGTGAGTGTGTGGCTATATAGTGGAGTACTGCTTCATTCCATCCACCCCATACAGGCCTCCAGGTGAATGCTACCAGGCTTTCAAGAACCAGTTCATGCTCTTCACTACCATCCTCAGTCAGTACATAGTGGGAGAATATATCCTTGCTTCCTTGGAGAGAGAAACATGTGGAAACAACTTTTTGCCGGAGTTTCCATTACTAAAATTAATTTGTGAACGACCACGAAATTTTCTTTTCCAGTAATGTGTCAAGGCTCATACCCATGCTGTGTGTGTGTACAGGTTTTGTGATGGCCCTGCAGTTCAGGTACCAGCGAGCCAAGATGTACCGCAAGGTGGCCCTGGGACTCAAACACCACATGTCCGTCAGCCACGGTATGTGGACAGACTACTGGCGTACAATATTATACTGTGTTTTCATCTGTGGTGTCGACCACTTCTGCAGAGAGCAAACTAGCAATCAAGAACCTACTACTGGGCTTAGTAGGAGTTTATGTAAGTTCAACGCGTCTTCGTTGCAAATCACGAATTATGCTTGTGTTTTCACGACTGTATGTAGATGTTCCAGCTCTATAATGCGTACACACTCTACAAGCTCTATCGGTCTTCCAACATAGACTGTGACAGATGGCAGGTACTTACCCCATGGATACATAATGTACACAAGTTGACACCTCTAATAAGGACACCCAAAGAACAGTTCTTGCATGCAATTTAACCCCTGAAATAAGGGCACCTCACTAGGACACTTTTTCCTGTCCCATTGGTGTCTTAGATTAGAGGGGTGTCCTCATTTCATGTATTTCTTTATTAGAAACAGGTATCGATCAATTGTATATATAATATTTTCCCCAGGTTCCCCTGCTGGCATTTCTATTCCTGATACTGGCCGTTATGAACAGCGCCACCCTGTTCACTGTCGTCATATACAAGCCTCTGCGGAAACTAAAAAAGGTGGAAAAATACAAGTCACTCTAGAGAACAAATATACGATTTAGTAGGTATGTATATACAAAGTGTGTGTTGTTTCCCAAATATTCACATGCGTGTTTTTACAAAGAGGTGATTGACAATTTTCCACATGATATGGATTGAGAAAATGTTTGCGAAACGTTCGTATTCCTCCTCTTCACAATCTTGTCCGTCAACAGACGACACCTACAGTAGAAAAGAGTGTATATACACAGTCATTCCCAGGCTGCCCTAGAAAAGCAAGGGGTTTGTAATTATACACCTCCGATTGCATGTGACCTGGATTACTGATGGCAATGCCCTAGTGTGGGCACTCTATTGCAACAGGTGTCAATAGCATGTGTGGTCGTGTGCAAAAGTCGTTTGTTGGGGAGAGTCTGGGGACAAGGCTTGTACTGTGAACCTACCCCTAAAGCAGCTACGTAGGGAAGTCCACACGTCTGTCTCGAGCTCTGCTTGCTCTCCAACTTGTTGTTGGCTATGACAGCAGCCTTGTAGAGGTCGGCGACTCGCGGGCTGCATACAGCCGTCTCGCTCTGCTTGAACCGACTGGCGCGAGCAAACACCACTCTTGGCTCCGGTGGGTCGGACACGAAAGAGTGGCTCTGGGAGGCAAACAAGATGCTGGATTTGGCCTCCTGGCTCAGCTGAAGACACGGGGCATGGAGCAAAGGACTGGCTTCAGAGGAACTCCACAATCTGGCAGCCTAAGAAAAGAAACAAACCTCGAGTAACTGACTAGCATAATTATAGTGGGAAAGTTTCTTCATAGGGAGAACACTTTCGTCCCAGCTATCTATGCGGCAATGAGTGTGCGTGATTGTACGTACTGCATTTGACTGAAGAAAGTTGTCGGGGTGTGGTACACATCGTCTGACGCCTGCGTTGGCACTCGGAGGTTTCGTGGGGTCCATGCTAGTCCCTTGAACCATGGACTCCTCTCTTCCTCCGACAGCTATATACACAATCACACAGTGAGACAGAAGCAAGTTTAGTAGGCCAGCAGACAGCACAACATCGTGACATTGGCGGTCACAATTCATGTAAGGTGCATCCAACAGTAAGAGGTTTGCAGCTTGGCCTATCATAGTGAGAATGCCTGGAAAATGCTTGCTGCACAGGCCCAACATACAATAATGTGAGACTGCCATAGCATTTTACATTCACACATCATACTCATACACTGCAGCAGAAGATTCTTTGCATACCTGCAGCTCAGTGGAAATCCTTGCGAGGCACACCATCTGCTGGTACACACTCCGTGGAACGGGTCTCAAATCCTCCGGCACTAGCGATCCTCCAGCCTCTAGTCTCCACACCTCCAACATGTGCTCAATCTCTGCCATCAGGAGTCCCTCTTCCGTCCTCGGCCTCACCACACACACATCGCCCAGCTGGACGCCTTCCTGAGTGTTGGCACAGCATGTCCCAGTCATAACGAGGAGGTGTGGTCGAGGACTGAACCGGTGTAGTAGGTCCACTGGGCCTGTCATTGCTGATGCTGAGTCAGCTGGATCTGGGTAGGCAATGTGGACAGTCCTCGAACTCCTTCCAGAGACAGAATACTCCTGTGGCAGGTGATAAAGGCTACTAAATATGTATGTATGTACACGTTTTGAGATTATACACTCGAGCAGGCAAAGAATACTGTATGTTACATGATGGTGATGCCTTATTACTTGTTACCAAAGTTCGATAAAAAACGTGATCACCAACGGCATGTTGTTGATAGAGCCTTTATTTACACACACACACCTGACAGCTGTAGATCCCTACAATCCGGCGAGGTCCATTTTGTGTACATGCAGTAACCGACAAGACTTTCTCACAGTCAGCTCTCAGAGGACACTAGCCACAGAACAGTTGGTTTGTCAGCCAGCGCAGGAAGATCTAGAACAAGCCAGTATTATTATACAAAACTTGCTAATACGCCACCAAAATAGTACATCAATACCTTTCCCTCCATCAGTGTCAGACACAGGAATGCCACCTAAAGAATCGGCAAAGGGGAAGATCTCTGACGCACTCACTTTGGCACTTTTCTTTGAGTACACAGCTTTGCTAAAGTTTGAAAGGGTAGCAATATCGGTCTTTGTCAGGATGTAGTCTACCAGTTGCTTCGACTTTGGATTTCCCTTCACCACTAGAGGATTCGATGGCTTTTTCTCTCTTGCTTCGTCAGGCAATGGTTCTTCTCCAGGAGGCGCCATGGCCGCGGATAGAGCAGAGACTCTACCTCGTCTCTGTGGTCGCGTATCGCTTGCTTGTACTTCTCACAAGCTTCCACTTCTGTGTAAAGAGACATTGTTTATGCCCAAAAGTCGGTTCGTTTCTAAATGGAGCGCACCATCGTGAATTATTCATGACAAAAACTTGGCGGGAAAACAAGTGATAGGACGGTTATTCATGATAAAGAGCTAGGCTAGGAGCTAGCTATTCGGTAGAACTGAACATGTATACTCTTGGAGGTGTGGTGGCTTTTAGAAAAGCCGGTTGAGGAAAAAAGAAAAAGAAAAAAGTCTAGGCCCTCTCGCCACGGATTCGGCGGGCCAGCTGGATGTCCTTGGGCATGATGGTGACTCTCTTGGCGTGGATGGCGCAGAGGTTGGTGTCCTCGAAGAGTCCCCCCAGGTAGGCCTCGCTGGCCTCCTGCAGAGCATCACGGCGGAGCTCTGAAAAAGGAAGACTCTGGAAACTGGTGTCTCTATCCTAAGTCCCTGATCTGAGGGCACCGGAAGTAAAACAACGACACCTATACCAACACACTGTAGCCATCCAAGTAAAATACTCGCCTTGTCAAACTCTGGAAAAGACCTACTTTATCCGCCAATTACACATATATCCATCCGCCGTCGTCTCTTTCATCACCCTCCCCCCTTCCTCTCCCCGCCCCAGCCCCCCCCCTCCCTCCCTTTCTTTCCCCCTTTCCTACAATCCAGTTTCTTTCCCTCTCCTCTCCCCTCCCCCCCCTTTCCATCTCCACCCCCCCCGTCCCTGCCTTCTACTTCCAGTCGTCTGCCTACCCCTCCTCCCCACTCCCCCGCACTGTCCCCTCCCCCTTGCCTCTACGTCACCTTCCCTTTCTCTTGTCCCTTCCCCTGTCCCCTCCCTCCCCTCCCCCCTCCCTTTACCGCCCCTTCCCCCCCGCCCGCTTCCCCCCCTCCCCCATCTCTCCAACCTCACCCCCTGCACTCTCACGCTTCTTCCCACCCCTTCTTTCGCCCCCTCCCCCCGATCCACCATTCCCCCACCCTTCTCCCCTCCCACTCCCCTCCCCTCTTCCCTCCCCCTCCGCGGCCGTCCCCGGCCTCCCCCCTTTCCAACTCTCCCCCCTCTGTGCCCCACGCGCCCCGCGATCCCCCGGCCCGCCTCCCGCCCTTCCCCACCATGCCCCCCGTCCCCCCCTTTCTCGTTTCTCCCTCCCCCCCCCTTCTCCCCTCCCTCACCGGTCCCTCCCCCACTCCCCTTTCCGCTTCCTCCTCCCTTCCCCCCTCCCCCCCTCCCTCCTCCCTTCTCCTCCACCCCCCTGCTCATCTCCCTGTTCCCATTCCCCCCCCCCCCTATCAGTCCTCCCCCCCCACTCCTCCTCCCCCTTCCCGCTTTCCTCCCCCCCCGCCTCGCCCCGTCCCTCCCCCTCCACTTCCCCCTCCCCCTCCCCCCATATCCTCTACCTCGTCCCTCCCCTCCCTATACCACCTCCTCTTTGCCCACCCCGCCTCTCTCTGTCCCTCATCCCACCTCCCTCTCTCTCCCGCTGTCCCTTTCCTCTCCACAAAAATAAAAAATAGCTGGAAACGGGAAGCACTGGAAGGAAAAAAGGGAAAAGGATATGAGGAAAGAACATAAAGCGATGTAGGCCAGGACCTTGAGAGGCAGAACCTCTCTGTGACAATACAGTAGCACTGAAATAGAGTTCCTTCCCCCTTCCCCCCTCCCCCACGCCTAGTTCTCCCTTTCCACCCTTCCGCCTCCTGCCTCCCTCTCCCCCCCTTCTCCTTCCCCCCCTTCTTCGCACCTTCCCCCGATCTCCCTCCACCCCCCCCTCCTCACCGTCCCGCCTCCGCGCCTCGCTCTTCCTGTTCTCCCCTCCCCCCCCAGCCTTTCCCACCCCACACCTTTCCCCTCCCTACCCCCTCGCCTCCCCCGCTTTCCTCTATCCCTCCTCCTTGCCCTTCCCGTCTCTCCCCACACCCATCTCGCCCGCCCCCGGCACCCACCCCCCTCTACACTTTTTCCCGACCCCTTCGTCCCCCCGCCGTCCTCCCCCCCTACTCCTCCCCGCGCCCCTTTTCCCCTCCCCCCGCCCCCCCCCCGCTCCTCCCCCGGTGCCCCCCGACTTTCTCCAAAAAAAAACCGCAGGTCGGTCTGAACGTCCTGGCGATCTCGCGGACGAGGGCGCTGGAAGGGAGCTGCGGATGAGGAGCTCGGTGGACTTCTGGTAGCGCCTGATCTCACGAGGGCGACGGTTCCGGCTTGTAGCGGTGAGCTCTTGACTCACTCAGTGGCGGGAGCGCTCTTGCGAGCGGCCTTGGTGGCGAGCTGTTTCCTCGGGGCCTTGCCTCCGGTGGACTTGCGGGCGGTCTGCTTGGTACGAGCCATGTCTTCTCAAGTAAGAGAGAGAGAGAGAGATCCTTTCTTGCCGAGAGCGAGAGTGGACGAATGAGCGGCAGAGGCGGAACCCCCAGTTTTTATTTTCTGGCGCCAAATTCGCTCGCTAATCTGATTGGTCACTAAACTAGCAACCTGATTGGTCAATTCGCGATCCGCGACCTAGCAAAACGATCCGACCGGAAGTAGCAAGCTTTGGATATATACATGTATTCATGACCATTGCACAAAATTTTACAGACACTTTTTACAGACAATAATTTGAAAGATTTTTTTACATAAAATACATCACACACGAACATTTCTCTCTAAGTGCTGATCTACCCCCTCTATTGAATTCTAGTCACTTTCCAGCAATCACCTTCCCTATATTCCACATTCCCCCTTCCCTTCCCTTCCCCCCACCCCCTCCTCCCCCAACCCCCCCTATGACTCCCTCCTGGTGATGGCACACACAAGGTCTCTTATGAAGGACTGCGCCAGTGCAATGGTGGCGGTGCAGTTGATGGCCTTACTGTCTGCCAGGTCCGTGAACAAGTTTAGAATGTCACTCGAGTCCATGTGGGAATCCATAATGGCCGGCCTGTGAATTGAGATTATGTATTATACAGTCATCAGGTAAATGTTACAAGGTAGCATGTTTGCTAAGTTCATCAGCCCAAGGCAAAAAATCCAGGATCTATTATCACCTATGTGTGTCACTCATGCTAAATTGTCGCATTTCGTTCACTTAGTTGCACAGGAATCTAAACATTCACTCCATCTTTTTCAAAGGTTTGCTGTCACACTGAAGACACGTTATAAGCCAAAGATGATTCTCAAGCCATGAAAGAAAAAAAATTTTTTCATTCCTGCTACAGAGTCTGTGCATTGTTCTAGGGGGCAAAAGAGGTATTGCCACACGGCTAAGGCCTCTATGAGAGAACTACACCTGTGTTAGATCACCCCACTCACAGAGCCCCCTTTTCTCAAGGACCAATTTGCCCCATCAAAACATTGCGTGCTGCATTATTCTCACTTGAACTGGGCCATAATGGCCAATCCACAGAACTCCAGGAAGTGGGCGGAGGAAACCTCCCTCGCTGCCCACCACGTCTCCCACAGTCGGAACACATCGCTGTACTTGAACTCTGGGACGAACGGGGAATCATTACATCGTAACGACATCATTGATAAACCACGTCAAACTCTGACCTCTCTTGTAGGAGACGAGGAACCATCGGTAGCAATAGAAGAGCCCGTCACCCAGGGGCCTCTCACTCAGATACTGGAAGAAATCCGGCTCCAAGACCTGCAGACAGAGCCCAAAATGTGGCACATTAGAATATGTTCTTTTGACTGGTATTATCGCTCCCTCTGCTTCTAATTACTTGCACGAAACAACCCAATTCACCCGCCATTGGCTTTTGACGGGTACATTGTACCAAAGGCTCTCTTACATAATCACTCTCACTAATGCTCACTTGGTTACAATACCCCACCTCTAATCATTTCCCCCCTCCTCCTCCCTCTTGTTATGTATATACTCATTCCAGCCCACCTGGAGCAGGGCCTTGAGATTGGAGAGACGAGAGTTCATGTCCGTGTGTGGAGGGAACAGGAGGATGGCCGACTTCATGAGGCACTGGTAGCAGGCGTATGTGAGGGCCTCGTCCTGTAGGACGACCAGGAGTGGAGCCAGCAGGTCACACATCCCCTGAGAGTAGCCGTCGTCCAGGTGGCCCCACACGTACGTAGTCACAATGTTCCGCAGTTTTGCCAGGTTCCCTAGCTCCTTGAAGAACCTACACGTAGTGAGCAAATGATAACACACATATAATATAGTGTGTGCAGAGTTATACTAATATGTGCACAAGTGGTGGCATGAATAGCAACAAAGAAAGAAACAATGTGCACTCGTTATACGTGTCCATAAGCACCGACACAGATAGCTGGTTATGGATGTCAGTACACTGTACATGATGCCGGTAGAAAGATCAATGCAGCTGGAACGATGCCATGTGATGCATTAAGCCACCAGCACACTCACCAGTAGTCCCGGTCACATCTTGGAATGTCTTTGTCAATCTTGAGCAGCTCGTCTGCAAACAGTCTCCCCCTCTCGTCTAGAACCATCTCCTCCCCCTCCTCCACAGCTACCGTACCGTCCGGTACTATGGTCAGAGTTGACTGTGTTAGCCCCTCCCCTCCTTCAAGTCCCAGATCCATTCCACTCCCGTCTCCATTCCATTCCACTAGCAAATCTTCCTCCTCTACATGTTCGTCTGCGTGGCAACCGTTCACGAGGACGTTTCTGTGACTACTACTCCCGGTGCTGTTGCCTAGGTTACAGTTGGAGGAGTGGCCTGAATCCACGGAGTTGCTGCGTGTTTTGGTGATGATGTCATTATGAGGTGGTATGATGTAAGACTGTGGAGGGTGAGTCTGGGGAGGGGTGGTATTTGGGGAAGGGAGGGGTGAGGTTGTGCTCTGTGTTATTTCGGTGAACGTGATCAGCTCTGAAGAGGTATTCTGTGATGAGTGTGCTGCGAGGGGTGTGTCAGTAGGCGGGGGTTGTGTGGGGCCACACCCCTCTTCGAAATTGGTGTGGTCTTGAACAGCCATGGGTGTGGCTGCACCTTCACTAGAAGACACGCCTCCCACTACCTCCCCCATCTCTTCCTCACCTCCCTCGTGCTCTTCCTCCTCCCCTCCGCCTCCATTTCCCTTCTGGGCCCCTTCATCTCCTCCATCGTTACCCTCTCTCGGTGCCAACTCGGCGATCCTCTTCACGCCCAGCTCGCTCATGTGGGACGCATACTCTCTCCTCATCCTCTCCTGCCTCTCTCTCTCGGCCACGGCCAGCAGTCTCACGTGAACAACCTCGACCTTCTTCCACTCCTCCACTTCCCGTTCGTAGCTCTCCTTCTCGTGAGCTCTGATTCTCTCTGTTCTCTCGTCCGTGGAGGTCACTGGATACAGGCCCAGTAGCCAGGGCCACACCTACAGAAACAGACAAATCGCGTGTGATGAAAGCTTGTGTAAGAGATCTACTTTCACGCTAGGGGAGTCGAGCGAGCAGAGCAAGGAACATGTCAACAATGAGCTCGGGCCACACCTCTTGCACATACGCGACATAGACTCCACAAAATTTGTAGATGCACAAAAATCTTGACCTAGAGTCTGTATATGACATTGTGATAATAATGTTATTCAGCAAAAGTGTCACCTGATTGAGGTTACAGTAACAAACATGAAGAGTGAGGCATGTGGCACAATACCCGCCACACCGCTTGCAACGGATGCCACTACTTCAATTAGCAGTCGTACACCTAACGGTATGTACGCACACGGAAATGTGAAACATCTGTTGTTGATACACCCAGTTGAAACAACAATTGAAACATACATACTCCACTTATACCTACGGTACACATATGACATTGTATGCACGGAAGAGGGGAGCAAAAATTGGTTTCAACATCTGAAACAACAACGGCTTTATTTAGAGTGCTACATAAGCACACAGCTGCCCATTGGAGAGAGGTTTAGCTAATTTTGGTGAGAAAGCATTATTTTGCTTGCTGTTCAAACTGCATTATTGGAGGATTTACATACCTCTGGACGGAGGGGGTGAGGAATTGGTCTGTTGTACACAACTCTCAGAAACCGAGCCCAGTTCTCCTCCTAAATAGAGCAGAGGGAGAGAGGGAGGGAGGGAGGGAGGGGAAGGGAGAGAAGAAGCAGCAAGGAACAGAGGGTGAGATAGGTTCAGACTGGCAGAGGGGGAAATGCTATCATGTCTTTGCCATACAGCCAACCCACCGTCTGTCACCCAACATTGGCAGGAAAGGGCACAAACACCCCGACATGTTGGACAACAGAAAAACCCAAAGTACACAACAACAGCTGTTGACTACATAACGTGCATACATAATTATTACTACAGTCACAGTCCGAAAATTGACCAAAATGGGATAGGCTTGTGCTGCCTCAAGACTATACACTTGTGAACACTTACGTATACTACATAATTATGTATTAAGGTACGGTACAAACCCACAGACAATAGCTTCACTCACCACTTAATTGCAAAGTCAATGTACATAAGGCTCTAACTAAAGCGTAATTCACACTTACATTTCTGTTGGCGAGGAAGTTTGCCCAGAGGCTCTCCACAGCTCCCTCTCTGTAATTGGCAGGGTCCAACCCCTCCAACGAGACGCTGGCGTCCACCATGTGTGACACCATGTGGTGCACCTTCTTCATGTGACGACAGTACGACAGCCCTACGAAAACCACACACAAATGTACAGTACAAAATTATGAGGACAATATACTTTCGGCGGGTAAGGGGGAAATTCATTGTTTTTCTCCCCTCACTAAGCTACTGTGTGAGCCTAAAACTTTAACGATCAACTTCTTCCCCACCCCTTGGACTTTGCTAGATTGAGTGATCGTATGTGTACATACGTACGTATGCATCTAGTCATGTGAGAGTCATGTGAGAGTCATGTGATCTACTCACAGCTGTAGAAGTAGCGGGCCAGGAGCTGTTTGGATACCTTCAACTGAAACTTCTCCCAGTCTTTCCTGAAACATCACGAGAGTTGTAAAGTAAACAGGCACATATTCTCAACACTGAGATCAATCAACTACTACATACAAATTAAAAACAAAGCAAGTCAAAAGTGTGTTTAATAGTCATAATGCTATCTGATATCTGAGCTATCTGGACGCATAAAAAGTTGCACGATTTGTGAAAGTGTAGCAAAAACAGCTATATACATGAATGCATGCTGCCAGTCCATGTGTATAACCACATGTATGCATAATCATAATTATCGTAAATGCACATATATACATAATGTGTATACATGCGTATACTCCATGTACCGAGCTAGTGACGTGGGTTTGTCGATGCTGATGCCAAATGGGGAGATGAAACCCCAGTGATGCCGGTCCTCTTGTGTGGGGGAGGGGCAGGGAGAGGAGGACGCCGAGGAGGCATTCGAAGAGGCAGAGGAGGAGGAGAGAGAGGAGGAGGAGGAGAGAAGAAGAAGAACCGAAAGATTTCACAGAATTTGAGAAAGGTCCGCGGAGAGTGTGTAGGTTGAGAGGGACATGCGGGACCTGGCTCCTTGCTGCGGGGGACATGGGGGGGGTGGGGGGAGTTAAAGACAAACAAATACTTTATGACAAGAAAATGCACAAAGGTAGCCAAAACCAAGTGACTCAAACTATATGCAAGACCTTTTGCTGCGGGTCATCTGGACCCATTAGCCACAAGAAGGTATATTTGTTTAGCTTTACCAGTGATCTTGGTGCGTGCCGTAGAGCTATGTGGAAAGTTCAATAATTAATTCCGGTACTAGTATTACGGTATGTGCAGTAATAAAACTGGAAGAAAAACAACAACCACCAAACATTAATCTTTACACTACCTGGGTTGAGAGTGGCAGCCTTAGCGGCAGAGTCGGTCCTCCCCCCACTGAACCTGAGTCTGAACACCTGGTTCCACACATCAACCCCCTCCCACCACTCCTCCCCGTCCCCCACCCCCCACTCCGCCGAGGAGGGCAGCGGCGAGCGCCACGTCAAACCCCGCTTCGCCTGTCGGGCATAAAAACATACACTTACGCTGCGTTCACAAAAAGTACATGTGTGTCCCATTGCCTCAATGTACCGTGTCACGTCGCACTGCAAAGGAATCTATCCTCGCAATGCAGCACTTAGCCTATGCAACGTCTTACCAGTAAGCCAGCTTCATACGTACGTAAGTAATCCACCAATTAAATATATATACAAACAGGGCATCTGGCGTGTGTAATCTGAGCTATAATCAAATATATCACCAATGAGAAACCCAGTACAGTACAAGGGAGGCTTCGGCCCAACGATAGGCTGTAGGCGCCAACTAGTTTACATAATCTTTTCCGCAATGCATAATATAATAAGCAGTGCTAAATCAAGTTTGCCAACTTCCTTCCAACTCTCCCCAGTATTAAGGAATTCCGTACTACGTTCGTCTTTAATTTACAAGACTTCGTCGAATTTTCCCCTTCCAAGGGTTTTGTGATACATGAGAGAGCAAAATGACTGCATGGCAATATAGACCCAAGACCCAAATCCTCACTTTATTGCATGGAGGTTTCTCGACAGTACGGAACAAATCCGCTAAGGGGGCTGAGTTTTCACCTTGGTTGTCTGTGTCTTGATGTACCACAGAGGAGGCTCCAGACAGCCGCGGGGAAGGAGATTGTTCTCCAGACACTCGAGGAATTGGAAGAGGGAGGGCTGGTGAGAGAAGACGAGGCGAGGGTAGGCTATGCCGTCGTAGCCAATGAGAATGACGTCGGCCGAATCGGCAGAGCGGTGGCAGTGGATGTGAGCAACATGAGACCCGATGTCTATAGATAGGACGTGGTCCCAGAGAGAGCTGTGGGGGGAGGGGTGGGGGAGGAAGAGAGGAGAAGAATTAGCACACCATGTGTTTTTCTGTGTGTGTGTGTGTGTGTGTGTGGGAGGTGGGGGGACTGGACAAGGAGACCATGAACGTTTCGCTTCCAAACAGGTCCATTCCATTCTGGACATGCTAAGCCAACGTAAGTATCGCCAATGGTATACAAGTGGTTCACGTCTCAAAGGAAAGTGGTTTCGATGACAGAAGTGCCACTATACAATTAAGAGGAAGCAATTTAATAGCATGCCTAGTGATTAAAGGCAAGAGTTCTTCTCAGAAAGCAGGGAAGCTGGCTGGCTACCTTAGTAAGTGTAGTCCTTTTACATATATAGCTTCTTGGCACGACTCACATACATTAGAACATGTGTGTTTACAGTATGTATGTACATGTGACACCGAGTTCACCTGAACTCACTACACCCAAATTATATGTAGCTGTTCAACAATTATAAATTACATAGGGTTACATCTCCCAGCAAGAATGTGTTCACGTCATTTGCAAAGTAAGAGAACCAGTCTGCCGTCGTGTGCAGTCGCTCTCCGGCACTGATTTTTTCCACACTTGCCGACACTTGCTGCTCAAAAAAACGTCCCGTTGTTCATTTCAGCAGCATAATACGTATGGATGGGTACGGTTGATAACCCCCCACCACTAGATTACAAGATTCGTACAATACCATAATGCAGTGAAGATTCCTCAAATTCCTCCCGTGTGTATACCTACTGTACGTACGTATGTACCATGATAATCAATAGAAGAATATATACATTTGCAGTGATAGACATTATGTAGTGTATATGCCCAACATTAGTGGGCAACCCCTCTCCTCTATACGTAACGCCAGCGTGCACAGAAGTGGATCATACAGAGGTTGTAGAAGTAGGTATGTACCCAGAGGTGTTGGAACTTTTGAGCAGGGAGTTGGGGATCCACTTGAGCTGCAGACCATCCAGCACTCTCTGC